CGGTGTCTAACAGGTGTGCATATGAATACTTTTTAAAACTTCTCAATAACCGTTGCAAAAATGATTCTTCTCCCGCAAGTTTCAACTGATAAAATGTCTACAATAAGTTGTTTAACAACATTTTTGGGTTAACGAATTCCGCTGTCAATTACTCATAGTACCCCGATAAGATAAGACCCGTTACAACCGAAAAATCCCCTTTTCTGTTGCACAGTGTAGTTCAACTTCTCTGCTGGAGTTTCGAACTCCGGACGTTTTTGTATTCTGCCTCTTCTTCAAAGTTGTCTGCTGCCCACACACACATACGTTTACAAACACATTTTTTTATGCTGGCCTCTGCTTCTTCCCTTCTTTTGCTTCATTTACAATTTACAACACTCTCTTTCTATTTCCCTCTCATTTGCTGGTTCTCTTTGATTTCGCTCTTTCGCCCAATTATGTAGCAAATGTTTGTGCTTGTGATTTATTTGCGGTTAACCTACGGTTATTATTTTAATTGAACTGTATTTTTTGTCACGTGGAAATGAAAAAATTCAGAAACTTATGCAATCGTTTATGTTACAGCTAAATTACATCTGTTCAGCGTGATTTGTTTTGCCCCGCTCTTTCGTTTTTTTTGCACCTCTCTTTTTTGCCTCCCTTTCTCTCTCTCTCTCTCTCTCTCTCTTGATCTTGTTTGCACTGGCTTAATTAGCAAATGACGCAGATTACTTGTGGGGATTTTCAATTGATCTTAGATTACCGCAATTAATCTTTCGCAAATGCATCCCTGCGTTTGTGTGCGTGTGCTCGTGTGACATTTTAAAAATAAAATATTGAAAATGGCAAACGTTTCTTTGATAACATTTTGACATTGTCGTCAAGTCGTCACTTAGTAATTACACTGGAAAATAACTAGAATATTTTCGCTTAACAATAGCTTTTTTTAATAAAGGTCTATTTTGTTTTTAGATATTTGGATAACAAATAAAATATTTTTAAAAAATGTAACATCTTAAAATATTTATTAATATTTAGAAATCCAATTTACATTATAAATATATATTTTCTAAGTGTATGCAAAACATACAATAAAGGGGCGACGAGACAAAAGACAAAAACTTGGAGGAGAGGGAGAGAAAGAGACAGAGAGACCAATTGCAAGTGCACAACAACAACAACATAAGACATGAATGCTGGTGCAAAGGCAAATGAAAAGAGACACACGTGAATAATAATTGAAAAAAATGTAAACCGCATATGGCGGAAATGGGGAGAAGAGAGAGGGGTGGATAATGAACATATGGGCAAGGTAATGAACAAAGATTGAATGAAATGAATGAGCGGAGGAGATGAAACCTGAAATGTGTATGGAAAATTAATAGAAACTTGAATAAAATGCATTGTATTGCATTCTGTCAATGGGATGTGATTTTTAATTATTATCATGGGTGGTTAAAGAAAAGGCACTTTAAAGAATTTTATCAAGTTACATTCAATGTTTTTCAGTTTTTAATAACATTTTTGAAACCTTTTGGTTCAAAACTCACGATTAAATCTGCATCTCAAGTATACACGATTCAAGTATCAAACCAACCATTTTATTGAAATATTTCTTTGCCATCGCAGTAGACAAAAATCTGAATTTGATTACCCAGTTCAAGGAAGTGTCGGTCGGTTGTTTAGGTAGCTACATATATCCAAAGAATCGATCGAATGGAAAACCCAATATCGGCAGAGCCTTATCGCTGTCTGTCGCCGTCTGGCAATGAATCGATATTCCAAGAAACCCAGGAAAATAAACAGAAACAGCAGGCAGGCCATACGCAGGGATATGGAAATGGGAGGGAGTAATGTCGAAGGAGGCGTGGCATATAGGGTTTCGACACCTCAGAGGTGATAGAGGATGCGGCCAAGTGTTATTCCTTACTTACTTCCTCACTTAATCATTTTGATACTTTAAGAAGAAGGAGGAGATTTTCTAAAATTTATTATACTATTCTTGATATATTTTGGTATTGTAATATAAAGGCACTAATACATCCTATTAAACATCAGTAAACAGTACTCGCGAATTCTTCGGACTTAAATGAAACAATCTGCTTTCAGTTAGGATATGTTTAACTTGAATTAAAAGAGACATTTTATTAATTTTTTTTTATTTATTTAAGAGTTCTTTCTAACGATAGAAGTGTACAAATTAGTTTAATGCGCTAGTCATTTTTCTTAAAAACGAAAATATTTTTCCCAGTGCACTTGAAAAGGCATTAATGCTAATGAAGAGCAAAATTTGTAAATGAGACAGGGCGGAAAGGAAAATGGATAGTGTGGCACTTGCAGCAGTCACAAACATTAAACTTGCACCCTCTCTTTCGGTCAATCTATAGCCATCTCTCTCCGTGCTACTCATCAATTTTCTGGGCACGTTCTCAAAATGTTTTTGGCGACAGGAGAAGGAGCTACGAAGGAACCGAAGGGGGGAAAACCACGAATGCCAATTTTGGCAAAAACAAGTGACAAACACCAAAAACAGGACACAAGATGGACGGAATGGCAAAAACAAGATTACTGGCTGCTTCAGGGGGCTGGGAAGGGGAGGGGGGTTGTAAAGGGGTAAAAGGCCATCGCACTATTTATGTGTGAGTGTGTGTAGAAATTTTTCGGGCCAATAAGTCACACACCAATAAAAGCAAACAAACCAACCAACAGGAAAACGAACAAACAAACAAACAGTGAAAGAGGCAAAGAGGCAAACACAGCCATCGAAATTGGCAACAGCCGGATGCTTTTGTTGGCTACCATCGATGGCAAAGATCATCGTGACCAGAAGCAGAAGTTGTATCAAAAACTGGCCCAGAACCCAGGCCCAAAACCAGACGCGCTTTTAGTGATGAGCTCTTGAAAATGCAATTGTAACTCTTTGAGGAAATATAAGGAAAAAGATAATCGAAACGTGTAACTTAATCTGAGGTTAGTTTGGACTTTAACAAAGTACTACGATAGAAAACAGGTCAATTTAATCCTTTCTTAATTTTTTCGTTTTTAAAACATAGAATTCAAAATACAAATGTAATTATTGTTTAACTTTAGCCTAATATAACTTCAGGTTAACCTTTAACCTTCGGTTAGAAAAAATTAAAAAAAAACAAAACATTGAAAAATATTTTCTTATTATCTAGATGCTAAGTGACAATTTTAAGACTAACAAAAATTAATCAAAATTATGTTGATCATATTTTGTTACTATCAAAGTATAAACAATTCTTGATTTATAATTCCCTCCACGGGTAGCTGGCTACTTCATCATGGAATTGTATTATCAACCAATAAACCATAATTTGATTAATTACTCTAGATAACAGCAAAAGCTGATAAATAATCCCCTTGGCAGCTTGCAAACAATTTGTATTATGTGTAAAGCCTCAAGTGCGGTAAAACTTGGTCAATTTATATTGCTATGATTTCAAATGGGAAAAATATGTTTATAAAATACATATATTTTACATTCGATTCAAGAGAATGTTCAAATCGTTTAATTCCATTTGCTCACAGTTTTAATCAGTGTTTCTGTGATCTAATCTCTTTTAAAATGTAATTTCAATTCAATTGCTCAATTAATTTAAAGTGTTTTTAAAAGCGATTAACTTCCAAGAGATGAGTTTTCAGTCTATAAATTTAAATTAAAATGCTCAATTAATTCGAAAAGTGTTTTCAAAAGTAGAAACTATTTTTCCAAGCACTAAACGATTTCATTCGGAAGGTGATTAAAGAAAGCATGAGAAAAGAAAGGAATTCGTCGGAAATTGAATCATCGCTATATCAGCGAGCCGCATTCTCCATAAAAACGTACTATATCTGTTTCTCTGGCGGCAAACAACACATCTCTCATCGCTAATGGGTAACTGACTGACTGACAGCATCGATGCGAGTTGGACCCGATGACCAATTTCAGATTTGCAGCCTTATTTGACCAGACCGCAACAGCCTAGCCTGGCAGGCCCGTCTATATATCTATTTCGGATTTAAGAGTGCCGATGTGTGTGCGTTTAGTTTGCTGCCATATTTATGCGTTCGCAATGCAGACGTTTTTAATGTCTTTTCTGCAACAGAACAGAAGCAGAAGGAGTTGTGGAAGACTGGAGCCAGCTTACATTCATCGAGACATGAAGGCTTTTCCTCTTCATTATCTGCAGCCACAAATTGCATCCAGTGCAATGCCTTGGAGATTTCATGGCTTGTCTGCCTATATGTATGTGTATCCTCGTCTCTCTTGGTTGCCGAATTTTGCATAATAAGTGCAACAGCAACACGGACAACCACAAAACCGCAAAAACAACTTAAGTGTACGAGAAATCGAACCGAGGAAAAGCCCTCAAGGTGGGAAAATTGGGTGAAGGCAGCTCGGAATCAAGTTCCCCGATTGAATCTGCCTCGATTTAATTGGGAAGTTACTAGCAGAAGTGACTGACAATTATGCTTCTGAAAAGGGTCAATTGACGCAATTGAAGTTACAATTTCTAAACGAGTTTGTTCACCTACAAAGGAACTAGTAATGACTACTAATGACTATATTAGTGAGAAAATTAAACAAACTGGGTGAGGTATTCATATGAATATAACTGAATAGTAATACACTGTACTATAGAGTAATTAAAATCTCATTATTATTCAACTTTGATGAGTGAAATCAAATTTGATCTTGGCTTTTTGATAAGTAAAACGCCAAATAAATAAAAAATAAGGACTAATGGTATTATCATTTTCGGTCATTTAGCTAATAGCTTAGTACTTTGATTATACAATAAAAAGAAAAGGTGTTCCTTATAATAGAAACCCAGAGTTTTTAAAAAATAAACTACATTTTTATATTATTACTTAATATTACTATTCAAATCAGTTTTTTATGGGTTATCGTTATACTATTGTTATGAAAAGCGGTCTTCTAGTCTAAAAAACCCCAAAATCATAAACTTTCCCAATTCTTTTTACGATATTTATCTTTACCGTTACATAGATCTTACCTGATCTTGAGCGTGGGTGGCTGCTACCAGAATTCCAAGGAGAATTGCGACGAGCAAGAGCGGCTCTACGGAAATCTTCTGCTTTGGCTTCATTTTCCCGTTGATTTCTTGTGGTATTGCTGTTGTTTTGATTTCAGCTAATCGCTTCCAGGTTTGTTTATTGACTTAACGATTAGAACTGGCGGCCGCACACATATATATATATATTTATCTATATATATTCGAACTTTTCAAACTGGTTTGACACTAGAAAAATGCTGTTTAAATGCACACATGGAATTATTACGATTATTTATATTCCAGACACTCTGTATTCCCGATGCGTTATCAATGAAATTGAAATTGCAAAACAAAAGAGATAGAGAGACAGAGTATTAATTAAGCATTACACACTGTAAAATTAACAACAATTTATCGTATGCGCGAGCGGCTAAAATCAAAGAAGGGAAATAGAAGAGCGGGGGTAATAAACAAAACGTTTACGCAGAGCAGAGAGAATTGAACGGAAAAAAAGAGACAAGAGCGCAACTACCGTGTGTGAGTGTGTGTGGGTGTCTTATTATTTTTGTCCAAATTGATTATTTATAAAATTATAGCAAACTAAAATAAAACACAGTTTATTTTGGCCATTACAAGCACATTTGTTCTTCGGGTTTTCGGTAATTTCCCCCAAAATCCAGTGATTTTTCAACGAAAAAAACACAACCGCCCACCACTACAACCACGCACACACACACTATTCCTATTCGCTCTCTGTCTCCTCAGGCGCCCTCTCTTTCCCACTCACACCGCTATGGCGGCTTCTTTATGTGTCTCTTTTCTCTGCTGCTTCGCCTGCTTCTTCTTTTTCGTATCTTTCTGCCCGTTGTTTTGCTGCGTTTATTTTCGTTGCATTTATTGCTGCTACTCTGCGCACCTTTGCCGCCTTCGTATTTACAAATCTGCACTCGCACTATTTTCGGGGGTGTACAAATTTCTTTACACTCGAGTGGCGACCAAACACGAAATCGCGCTAAAATCCGGACGTACCGTGCCTTCTTCGTTCCGTGAAAATTTTTCGAATGACGGCAAGTGTAACCGTTTGCGGGGGTGGAAAAAAGCCAGAAATCTGTGTTTTCGATGGTTTCGCTTTTTATCGATGTTTTAGTCGAGTCTGGCACATCACTAACAGCCGCTCTCCCTCTCTCTCTCTCTCTGAGTAAATGACGGAGAGCCGTTACGTACAACTGACACTTACGTATAACTGACGATGTTTTCGTTTTGATCGATGTTTTAGTCGGGCTGGCACATCACTAAAATGTTAACATTTAACAGCTCTGCTGTTTGTGTTTACTAACACGCCATCTATAACTGTGCTGTAAGTAAAATTATGGAACACTCTGTTATTGAAATCTTGAATAAAATATGCCATAACTTCTGAACTTTAAAATAATTGTGGTTTCAAAGTTTAGTGCTAGTATTTAGTATTTTTAATGCTCTATAAAGTATATCGACTTATTTGGACAGCTCTTCTGGATCTTTGGATTCATTCTTGACTATTTGAATTTGCGGCGTTTCTTCCGATTCCGGTTCAGATTTGCTGTCTGATGATGCATTTTTCTGAGGCCTAATGAAGAGGTAGAGCACATAGGCAAACAACACTGTGATGCCAGAATCCTAGTGATCCTAGTGATTCGTGCGTTTATCTCCTGGATGCCAACATGCCAAATGTAGACGGAGTACGATAGCCTCGAAAGAGGTTGCCACAGTTGAGATGATAGGCGAGATGATAGGCATGCAGGCGAAGATCACCCAGCAACAGAGCAGGAGAAGACTATTCGGCATCATCATGGCCAGACAAAAGATCCATACAACCACACGGCTACCCAGCTTAAAACGTACTACCTGCCCTGGTTCAAATACAGGAAATAACCGAAAATGAAGCCAAGGAGTTGGCTCTGGCCGAAAAGACCTTGGTCTGAAAAATAGGATTTATAAAAGAATTTTGAACTCCTTGATTAACTTACCTTGGTCCTGGGAAAAAAATTAGTCATACAGTGTGAAGACAGATTCATTAGAAAACGCATTTAAATATGCGATAAGTCGAGGATTCATGGATTACTGATTTTAGATTGAGTTGTTTACTTACAAAACCAAAGTAAAGCAAAGTACAAAGAACACTGCAAAGTAGGAGATTATAATACAATTAATCTTTTTGGCGGCATTAGTTTAACTTGAAATTTTAAATAAATAAAACAGTTTTTTAACAGCGCCATAAAAGTGTTCCAACAGAAATGTTAAGTATGAATGTTTTACCAACAGCGGAAAAATACCAAAGAAAAATCACAATTGTATATTCAAGTTTCCACAACTTTCGAACACTGCTTGTGTGTCTATTTTTAGGCAGTTTCGTACAATGTTTTTTGTCTCGGGGTTTTTGTTAATAAATTAGCCAGAAAAAACAAAGTAAATAAGGTAATTGCAGGTGATTAAAATTGCTTATTAAATGGGTATAAGGCGTTGCATTTCCGAGCAGCCTATTATGTTTGTATTCAAAGTGTGAAAAACGTATGAATCACAAGACTTAATTTTTTCCCGTTTCTTTTTGTGTTTGCACTTTTCTTTTGCGTTTTTGTATTTCCGTGAAAATGCAGGGCTAATAAATCCAGGTTTTTATTTTCGATTTCAGGCTCTTTGCTGATTTGGTGGCCATGGATTTGGTGGACATTGATCAGGTTTTGGATAATTTGGAACTGCGTATTGCCGCCGACGAGCAGCTGACCAGAAATGCAGCAGCGGCAGCAGCAGCGGCGATATCCTCAAATTCCAGTCGATTTCTGGGCGATGGAGCAAGTGCATCCAACAGTGGAGTGGGAGGATCAGTAGGAGCAGCATCATCTCAGGCAGCTCCGGCAACTGGGAAAACCTTTGTGGGCGTCTCCCAGGTCTTCAACAGCCTGGATGACTACAGGGAAAATGTGAAATCCCTGGAGGTCGATGGCCAACTGCCCACCTACGATTGGCAAACGGAGGCGGAGCACGAGGATGACATACACAAATTCAGCGAGGAGGCGGCCAAAAACAATGGCCAGGCAATAGTCTCCTCCTCCGAGTCCCTGACCACCTCGTCCTGTTCCACCTTCTCCTCGGGTCCCTCGCCCGTCAGCAATGGCAGTCACTCCGAGGAGCTGACAACGCCCCCGGAGAGCGAGAAGCCCAGCGAGGTTCAGGTGGTGCCAAAGGAAGAGACTAGGGATCAGGATCAAGATCAGGAGCAGATTGAGGATCAGGCGATTGCAGCACCAGAGCCCAAACAGTCAAAGGAAACTGTAGAGGGGTTGGTTGTGGGATTGTCGTCCATTTCCATCACAGCATCCGTCACGGAATCACAATCCCTGCTGCCGGAGGAGGTCACCGCATCCTCCGTTCTTGGCCAGGTCCTACAGGAGCTCTCGGAGGAATCGTCGCCCAGTAGAGAACCCGAAACGGAGATGACCAATGGCATAGAGATCCCAGTAGCCATTGAAGTGAGTATTATTATCTTATCTGTGAAATGTGCAAAAAAATGTTATTTTAAATAGTAATTAGTAATTATTAGAAATAGTAATTAATGTGCAATTAAAAAAGAAAAAATTATAATTTTTTCATTTTAAAAAAACAAAAAAAATTAAATTTGAATAGCTCCACAAAAAAAAAGGAGCTCGATAAGATATTGCAATATCATAATTTCATATCATATTCATATCATATTGAAATGTGAGTAGAGATAAATGTAACTTTTGCTTACAAAAGATAATAGCTTCAAGCGTCAAGCATTTACCTACCTTAAAAAAAATCGATGTTTTTTTTTATTATTTTATCAGTTTGTTGATTTTATTACCAAACTGAAATGTTTCAATTTATATAAAACAGTAAATTAATATTCATTACTATAAACATCATAGATAAATAATTGGCACTTTTTTTTTGAGCCTATCTACAATCTATTGGTGCGTCATTAAATTTTCATTGAGTCATAGTAGCTAACATTGAAATTAGCCACTTAGTAAATATTTCTTATACAGAAAATTTTTTTTTTTAATTTCCATTTAACAAATTTAGATGTAATTGTTAAAAAATCTGTTCTTTTTATTTTTTTTAATTTTTAAATTTAAATTTTGTTTATCTCAAATACTGTACAAATTCTAAAAACAAACAAATTAAAAATAATTACAAATAAATACCCTTACTTATACTGATTTCTATACCTTCCAGCAAGCGGCTAATCCGGAAATACCGCCCCCAAAAGAGAAGGAACAGCCGGCACAAACCGAAGAAGAGGATGTGGAGCAGCTGCAGGAACAGCAGCCCAGACGCAGTCAGCCCCTGACCTTCTGCTCCACGATGGACGACATCTCGGACACGGAATTGGACAGCATGCTGCAGGAGATGGACGCGGATGACAACCAGGAGGGCGATCAGGAAATGCCCGAGGAGGAGAAATCGCCCTCCGCCTCGCCAGTGACCGAGGAGGAGTCTGTGCGGATTCTGTCCGACGAACAGGAGACAACCTCCAACGACCAGATGAACGTGGACAACTTCTCGCAGGCCTCCACCGTGGAGTTTGCCGATCTGAAGCAGCACGAATCCACGCCAGTCACGGCGATGGGCGAGGATATAGCCTCCAGTTTCAGCAGCACGGAATCGGATTCTCTCTCGGGCAGGAAGCTCGATGGCGAGGAGGAACAGGAGGCGGAGCAGGAGGATCAGGAGGATGCCAGTCTGGCCACCGATGCGCTGGAAGAGCAGCGTCCCCAGCGACCGCAAACCTTGTATTTGAATGGTTGTCAGGTGGGAAACGCAACAGCCTCCCAAGATGAAACACCTGAAATTCAGCAGGACGGTTCCCAACCCGCCGAAGTTACAGAGGGAGCAGCAGGCGTAATATCCGGCGAAGATGACGAGGAAAGCCCCATCTACGAGGCCGTCGGCTATAGCGATCCGCATGCCAATCTGGGCAAGGTGCCGCCCATTTGGGTGCCCGATAACATGGCCGGGCAGTGTATGCAATGCCAGCAAAAGTTCACCATGATCAAGAGGCGACACCATTGTCGCGCCTGCGGAAAGGTCTTGTGCTCGGTCTGCTGCTCCCAGCGTTTCCGGCTGGAGTTCGCCAACGAACCAGAGTCGCGGGTCTGCGTGCAATGCTATATGATTCTCTCCGAGCGGCAGGCCAATGGATCGAGTTCTGAGTCAGCTCCTGGCTCCGCTTTGCCGCCCACTCCCATGCGTTCGCCGAATCCCAACAATCCGATGGAGTACTGCTCCACAATACCGCCACATCGTCAGGTGGCCACCTCGCCGGGAGCTCCGCCACCCAGCGTTATTGTGCCCGTGGGCGTGCTGAAGAAAACCGATGGCAGCTCCTCGAACTCCTCAAGCTCAGATGGCCAGAAGGGCGTGAGGAAGCGAAAGAGTGTTATGTTCAGCGACGGCATTGCGCCGGGCAGCGAACTGGCCAGCACCATGGAGCAGCAGTGGGGCGAGGCCAAGCAGGCGAGGCGGGGACTCTCGAGGAGCGGTTCGGGTGCTGGTCAGAAGCCGCCCACGCCAGCGACAGAGGAGCCACCGCGCAGCATCGACACTAGTTCTACGTTGGGCCTGGTGGCCCAGCTTTTCCGCGGCTCCATTCCACCGAGTGCAGCGGCTGCTACATTGGCAGCCACCGAATCAAGCGGTAAGGAATGCCTTTACTTTGATATTCTTATGATGTAATCCCTTTTCATCCCCCAGCTGGTCGCTCCTCATCCCAATCCCAAACCTCGCCGCGACGCAAAGCGGAACCAGCGCGCAATCGCAAGCTGCCGCCGAACGGAGATTCGCAAGGCTGCTACCTGCCCCCCGAGGAGAACGGCCTGCCCCCCATTTGTTTGACCAGCAAAGAGTGCGGCGAGGTGGACTACAAAGTGGTGCGCAACGACGGATCGCTTCTCGAGCGATTGCAAAACGAAACGCTCAAGTTTATCATAAAGAACAACTTCTTTGTGCTGGTCAAGATTGTTAACAGTCAGTATTTGCTATGCTAAATTAATTGTAAACCCTCTAATTGAATTTTCCCAACCCCCAGTGAGCTGCTGTATGAATCGTTGGGTGCTAAACTTCAGCACTTCCGGACTACATCACATGGGCAGCGATGAGTTGATTATTTTGTTGGAGATTAAACAGCCCAAGCAGGGCGAATCTGTGAATGGGGAAGTGGCTTTACCGAAGGACGTATTTCAGCATCTGTATGAGATCTACGTGGAGGCGGAGCAGGCCCGGTCCAGCACCCATGAATTGGCATTCACAAGTCCGCGTAGCGCCAGCTTTCTGGGTTCCCGCGAGCACGGTGGATTCATTTTCATCCGGCCAACGTACCAGTGTCTGCAAGGCGTGATTGTGCCGGATAATCCCTATCTGGTTGGCGTGCTCATTCATCGACACGAGGTGCCCTGGGCTAAGGTATTACCACTGCGATTAATCCTCCGTTTGGGCGCCCAATATCGCTACTATCCCTGTCCACTGATCTCGGTGCGCGGCAGGGAATCGGTGTATGGCGAAATAGCTCAAACTATCATCAATTTCCTGGTGGACTTCCGCAACTACTCGTACTCTCTACCAGCCATCCGAGGATTGTATATCCACATGGAGGACAGGCAGACCACGGTGATAATTCCAAAGTATCGCCAGCAGGATGTGATCAAGGCGATCAACAATGCCAGTGATCATATATTGGCATTCGCTGGCAACTTCTCAAAGGTGGCCGATGGACACTTGGTGTGCATGCAGAATATCAACGACGATCGATCCGAGATGTACTCCTACTCCACGCAGGCCATTAACATTCAGGGTCAGCCCAGAAAAATCACGGGAGCCAGTTTCTTCGTGCTAAATGAAGCGCTCAAGAGCAGCAGCGGTTTGTCGGGCAAATGCAGCATCGTGGAGGATGGCCTGATGGTGCAGATTATGCCCGCAAAAATGGAGGAAGTGCGTCAGGCGTTGCGCAACCAAAAGGACATCGATATCGTGTGCGGGCCCATCGATGCCACCGACGAACAGAGCGAGATTGTGAGCATCAAGTGGGTGGACAATAATCGGGACATCAATGTTGGGTGAGTTTAGAAATATATTTATATTTATGATGTATTATTATAATGTATTATCCTTTATTACAGGGTTAAATCCCCCATCGATGACCAACCCATGGATGGCATCTCCAACATGCGTGTCCATGCCAGCTTCAACTATTCCAATGCCAACTATGCCATCCGTCTGAGTGATATCTACATTGTCAAGGTATTATTTAATCAAAGTAGCTTATAGCAAACTTTTCATCTATTTTTTTCTTGCCAGTGCGAGGATTGGTATGCCACAAATGGTGGAAACTATGCGGACATAACTCGGATTGCCGAGCAATTGGCTCGCAGTGCCTCGATGGCCCTGCTGCCATTCCTTGATCTTCTAGCGACGGCTGGCATTAACAAACTTGGCCTAAGGGCCACTCTCGACCAGGAGAACGTATGTTTAATAAAATTGGAAAGCCGTATAAATTTGTAATACTATAATCCATATTTAGGTGGGCTATGAGGCCGGAGCCCGGGGTTCCAAGCTGCCGCCGTTGTACATGAACGCCCTGGACAACCATCTGATAGCCACGCTTCATGGCGAATCCTCCGGCATTCAGGATCCAATCATTCTCGAGCTGGTCTTCTACATACTAAACGCCTGACTTTAGTCCCTCATAGTGCAATTCTCCTGCTGGATTTGAAGACCAAACGGAAACCTTCTTAACTCTAAGCTCGACCCGATCAAAGCTTACAATAACTACACAAGCCCATGGGGCTAACGAGGATATATAGTCGTATTGTTTGATGGCTCAGTTACTGTGTACATATTTAAGTAGATTATCGATTGGTTTTTGTCTCTACTTTTCTACGATTCTCCTCCCTCAACCCTCCCCATTCATTTAAACTGTTATATTCTTCTTGAATTTTATTTGTTTTGAGTTTTCATTGAAAGTAAAAAAATATCTAAGAAACCTAAATATATATATTTGTATGTGATGTTCTTTAATATGCTTTACACATTTACCATTCGAGTATATATGAATAACAAACTATATGAAAACTGTTGATTAAATCGCTGTTTGTCTCTGTGGAAATAAGGAAACAATTGTGGTTCTTGTTAAATTATTGGTAGCAATTCTTTATTCAATTTAAAGTGTTCCAATTGACTTCCACTTAAGAGTGTGTCTGATTTACAAAATACATTACGAACATTATCTTTACGATGGGTCTAAAAATCGTCACCACCCGCAGACGACACAAAATATATAACAACCTATAAATGTATATAAAAATGATGTTCATTCGCTCTCAGATTGTACATAATTTTAACTACGTCTAGTACCGGGGGACAGACACACAAAATAATAATAATGCACTCCTCTAATGTGTTGATGTTTAGATGCTGATATGTATGCTATATACAAAATGACATCGGGAAGCATCAGTTGCACTCGATTTATTGCTCGGCTTCTGCCTCATCTGTTGTATATTCTTGTTTAGTTTTGTGTATATATTTGGGTTTTATATAACTTAAGCACACGTGTCCCTTCGATGTTGGCGTACACCAAAAAACCCCCTTTGATAAGCCCTACAGCTCGTCGTGTTTGGGTCCGGAGAACTCGTCGTGCGAGATGAAGCCGTTCTTGTCCTTATCCTCGTGCTGGAAGATCTCCTCCACCAGCTTGTCGTTCTCAGCCAGCATGTTCTTCAGCTCGGCGGAGTCCTGACCCTCGACGGCGGTCATCTGCTTCTTCAGATACTCGCTGACCTGTAGAGGAAAAATATACTTTGAATTAGTTGAGTCTTTTTGAAAAATATTAGTAGTACGAGAATAAAGAGGCTTTTTTGGAGCAGAAAAAAAGGAATGGTTAGTATAGGTCGTTTTTAAACTCACAGACATTTTAAAATATTTTTTTAAATTAATTTGTCGTATATATTTACTGGGATTTTGAAATACGATATTATTTATTTTATTTACTAAATAAAAAATTATATTAAATATCCAATATTAATATTTAGTCTGTGATTTTAAATCTTCATATAATCCTTTATTTTCTGCTCAAGGGTTAGTAACTTATCCCACGTCCAACGGATATTTCAGTGTAGAGAGACATATATAAAACAAAAGTGCGATCCATACATAGACGATTACCTCTTCGCGACTCAGCTGCTTGTCGGCATTATCGTCGATCTCCTTGAAGACATTGGTGGTGGGCGGGGCGTTGCCGATGTTGATCAGCTCCACATCGAACAAGAGGGTGGCCTTGGGGGGAATGACGTTGCCGGCACCCTGATCGCCATAGCCCAACTGGGGAGGAATCGTCAGCTTGCGCTTCTCACCTGGATTTGTTTAAGGGAAAATTCAAATTTAATTTACGAACTTTGCAGAACCATATTTTCCAGTACTTACCCACGCACATGTTGAGGAGTCCCTGATCCCAGCCCTTAATCACCTGGCCGGCGCCCAATTGGAATGTGAAGGGCTGGTCGCGGTCGAAGCTGCAAAAAAAAAGAGGGGAGATGCAAATTGTTAGACGCTTGTTAGCCGCAAAGTTTTAAGTGCTTAATACAGGTGTCGGGGGACAACAGCCACCTTAAACCGAAACAATTCATCATTTCTTTATGACTCTTCTTTTCCGTTCTTTTTTTTAACAGTCTATAAAAATTATTTATTTGATGGTCCCGCTAAGCGAATTTACTTTAATTTGTTAAGCGCACGAAAAAGGGGGATAAAAGGCCAGGAGCTGCTCAGGTATGCATGAGAATGTCGCGCCTTGAGCTTGATGTATGATGTGGCACAGTTGTAGCCCATTTGATTATGATTATGATATATAGAAATGGATACTGTGAATCCAGGGGTGCAAAAAAGGTTGGGGTAGAGCGGATATAGACCTATAAACGCGCTGTAAAATCCCTTTTATAGGCCAACATTCTTAGGAGCTTTAATCAGGAGTAAAAAATAAAACAATATGTGTTTTCGTTATCAACGTGCAACATAAATGTTGAGTGAAAAGCATTATACAAATACAAATTTTACACTAATATTTAATTTATTTAATTAACGTATTTATTTTCCTAAGATTTTATATATTAACCACCTCCTGAAACCTAGGTTTTTGTGAGGTATGAAAGTCCTTCTTAAATTAAACAAATATTTAAAGGCCAAATACATTTTAGGACAAACTTTTTTTAACCCTCAAGAGATCTGAACTTGGCAATTGAAATGTGTCGCTTGGGCTTTTCGACTGCAGGAAAAGTTTCCTTGAGTTTTTTTCCTCGAAAACTCTCCTGTTGTTCATCATTATATTATTATTGCTGTTTGTTAAGAAAGTTGTTTGGCTGTTTGGTTTTTAAGTGGCGCGGGGAAATTTGTCTTTAAACTTGTAGGGGAACCCCCGTTTAAGTGGAGAAGATGGAGGCCGAGACAGATTATTGCACTTGAGGCTGGGAAAAAGGAAACAAATGATTAACCAGGAGTCACCCACATGGGCGGCAAAAAGTTCTAGAGCTTGTCTGTTAAATATTTTATGTGCATCTCCTGGGCATTTTGCAAACATTTTTACATGCTCCGGCTGTTGTTTCAAATTCGAGTTCAAGTCACAACGATGATGGGGCAAGTGGCAAGTGGAAAGTAGAAATGCGGCAAGTGGCATGCGGATTGCGGATTGCCGCTGAATAATCCACCCAAGCGGGCCGAAAAAAAGGAGGAAATGAAAAAAAAGCTGGTAGCATTCAGAGCGGTTAAGTGTGACTCTGGAGCGTAACCAAAGTGTCGTCGTCGCTGCTTTTTGTCGCCGGCTTTCGCTCAAGTGCAAATCTCCTGATGAAATAAAAAAGCGTAAAAAATTTGTATCCCATCCCCCTGTGTGTCCTGTGTACCTCCTATGTGTGTGTTTCGGTTTGTTTTCCAGGGATTACGCGGCATCTAAGACACCTCGGTGGCTTGTCTTTATTTCGGTGTCGCCGTCTGTGGCTGTGAATTTTTATTGCATTATTTTCCATGAATTTCTAGTAATATGTGAAACATGTTATGGAGATTCCTTTTTTGTTTGTGGGATTTTGTGGCTCCTTTATCCTTGGAGTGTTCATTCCTGAATCCCCCCTAATTTATGCGATTTTCGAAGCCCAAAACAATACGTGGAAGTGGGTTACTTTGTTGAAAAATATTGAACGGGTATTTTGAAATGGAGTATTTACTTTGCAACAAATTCGTATACTTTTCAAAATTATATCTTAAACGCAACTGATAATATTTCTGATTTACGATTTTAAATTAAAAATTTGACAAACATTTTGTGAATATTTTAAATAAATAAATTTCAACATTTTTAAAGTAATTATTCAAACCCGTTAATTTAGATTAATCTTCACCCAATTATAATCTTTTAATAGGCTTAAATTATTTAGATAATAATTCTGATTACATCCTGTACACAATTATTTATAACCTCTGCAGACTTTTCCCATGACAAATTAAATTTCAGCTTTTATCCGCTCAATTTAACCCTGAATCCAACTCCGAAACTTTAATGGGAAACCGTTTAAAAACAGAGCTGTCGAGTCGTAAATAAATTAATAAAATCGTTTAAACGTGTTGATTGTTTCAGTCAGCACAGTCGAGACCTTCCTCTCCTCTGCGGACTTCCGTGTCCTTCGTCCCGTTTGTCCCCCGGAGGCAATCAAATATTTATGAATTACCGGACAAGGCAAACAAAAGGTCAGCTGAGATCGGGGTGAATTCACTCGCAGGTGGACAAACAAGTTGCAATTGCAGTTGTTATGCAATTGGCTAAAGTCAAGCAGAAATTCATCGATATTTTGCAAGCGTTTCGCAGGTTTTTCCAACTCGTCTCGGCTTAGATTGTGGTTTAGCAAAGGGGATAAAAAAATCGGGCTCTACTCAAGGGGCAAATGTGTGGGGTTCCATTTTTCGGTCTTTTATGGCCAGCACATTATCATAAAGTCAAGCAAAAAATGTAAACTCATTCATCCACTCACTAAATATTTAATAAGTTTCGATTTCATTCTTCCACTGATGTTGCTGTTTTCTCGTTTTGAATCCCAATCCCAATTCGAATCCGTGTCGGTATCCGTATCTGCGAATTGCGAACCGAGTCCCAACGCATCGCATAATTTAAAATGCAGCTCAATGGGCGCCCAAACATCCGTTTGCCGTTTTACGTGATTCCGCACCACGGGTGGTTGGGAACTTTTGGGTGGCATATGGACCCCCCACCTCCCACCGCCCGAAATCATACCACGTCACTCCGTCGCCGACTGCTTAGACACATTCAATCCAATCAAATTGAATCCTTTTGGGCGGGCTCCCTTGATGACCTCGTTTTATGTGTCCGGCCAAGAAAAGTTATAAAATCAAATATGCAACCGCAACTCCTTTACCTTGCCGCCTTTTGGAGGCCTCCCCTTTGGGGCGACAAGTTGCGATTAACGTGCACCAAGGACAAGGACTCCGGCAGGACCTCTGTCCATGGATTTCCCTCTGCGGGAATGGTCAACGTGCGAACGATTCACACAAAAAGTCTAAAGTTTGAACAAGTTTGCACCCGAAGCACTGGGAGAAAAGCCTCTAAATTTAAAAATATTTCGTCTAGTTAAAATTTTGAGTAAATCATATCGAAGAAATAAATCCAAATCAGTGAAAAGAAAGTAAAGGAGTAGTTTATTCAAAAGAAATAATATTTATAGATTTTTAAGGATTAATTTATTCAAGAAGTCTTTTAAATTCGTCTTTGGAATTCTGAATTTAATTTCCCCATTAGTGTTTTTAAAGTTTAATTTAAGTTTAAGCTTGAATATTTTTTTCCAGTGCCGTAACAAGTACCGCCCGGGACACCCAAAATTTATGCCCCAGCTGGCGGCATCACGTTCGTACGCCCTTAACACACAACCCCGAAAAAAAGCTGCTGTAAATTGTGGAAAATAAAAATTGCAACCGTTGAAGCTCATTAATTATTTAAACTATCTACAAATGTGTCTGACGCTGGCCCGGCAAAATATATGCGCGAGGCAAGAGTTGCCATAAAAGTCAGACGGCTGTTGCAGTTGCAGAAACAGCAGCAGCACTTGATTGCTTCCACATGGTAATGAGCTTTAGATTTAGTGGCCGTCTGCGACTCCACTCCAGTACTTTGTTGCGCTCGCTCTTCAAGTGTTTTGCCACCAATGGTGTCAAGGTTTTTGTGGTCATTCGAGCAGAGCTTAAGGTCTCCTCCTCCCACTCCCACTCCCACTCCCATTTTTACCGCCCATTACGCCCCATTCAAGGTTGTCCAGAGAGCAAGCTAAAACTTTCACTTTGATGCATTTCTGCTTGCTGATGTTTTTTTACGCACTCTGCTTTTGGACATTAAATTGCGCTTGCTGCAAAATGGGGTGACACAAAAGGGGGTAAATTGGGTAGAGGATGGGCTGAGTTTTTCTTCATTTTTTTAAGGGGGACTTTGCACTTGAAACATACAAATCATGGCAGCAGAAAGCGACAACATCGCAAGTTATGGCCCGATGCTTCAGGTAACTGACTTCTGCTCCTCTTCATTTCCTCCTCTGCGAAACTCCACCGTTACGTTGTCAAAAATTTGTGAAACATGTTTTTGAGGACGCCAACAAAAGACCAACTCCTCTTTTCATATTCAAACTACAACTTGCACTGAGCGAGATTTTTGGTCAAAGAAAGTCTCTAGAAATGGTAACGAAATACTTTTAGGTTATTTGTAAACCTATGTCACAGAAATGGTATTAATAAATCAATTAAAAGAGCGTCTTTTTGGGCTGGCTAAACTTTCTCCCCAAAACAAAAATATTCCACCATTATTATGTTAATTAAAAGTGTCGCATATAGGTGTGAATTGACCCGCAACTCTTTATATGGGTACTTTCAAAAGCCCTAAGTTGGCTAAATGAGTATCAAATTTGATTAGAAAGACCTTTTTGGCCTTATTTTAGCTAATTTAAACAATTTGAGGAAAGTTTTTAACGTATTTTGAATGCATCTACTTAACCTACTAAATTCCTCTTTGAAAATAAATTTTCTTCATATTATTTTAAGATTAATATATTTAAGATTTACTTAAATTCCGTATTATATTTTTACCAATTTTTTCTAAAATTTTCTAAAGTATTTTCCCCGTTGTCTCAGCGAAACTTTAAGCGAAAACATCACAATGCTTGGGTAGTGGTACTCAAGTAACAAATTAATTTCCCCAGAAGAGTGACACAGCACATGAAAAACTTCAGGAGGGGGCATATATCATAAAAGGTGAAAGGGAGCAGTGTAGTCGTGTTACGCGTCAGGCTGATTAGAATATAGCGATATGGCGAAAAGCTAAATAATTTATGCGGCCAAAAGAAGGTCTGCGGGTCAAAAGTAGAGCTCAACTTGTTGCCAGAAAAACAAGAGACGCCGCGGAAGTCTAATGAAGATGTGGGGGACTGGGGGCTAAAGTCATTGACAAAATGTGGTTGCACGTGACTTGGAAATGGCTATGACAGGTAGACCTGATGGACTCGCCAGCTCTACTTCGCCCTCTTCAATTTGGCTCCTTTCACGAAGACAATGGAAATAAAAGGCGGAGCAGGCACGTGACAGGACTCTAGCTCTCGTCCTGCTCATTATTGAATTAGTTATAACAAAAACAGAAGATGGGGGAATTTTTGTAATTGTCCGAAATGTAAAATTTCTTTTACGGTCACCCAAGTAAGTTCTAATCCTTTTTAATATCAATTAAGCACGTATCCTCTATACTTTTTTCCGTTTCTTTATGCCTGTGTGCTTAGGACAGTTTCCATTTTGATTGGCATTTCAATAGGAAATTCCTTCGGTAGACCTGTCAAATGCAGCAAAAATCCATCCTATTTATCTTTCTTTCCAAAAGGAGCATCGTTGCTTAAAAACCTTTTCTCAGGTGCTCTTCCAGCAAGAGCTTAATTATACCAGAACGTAGCCAGCTTTCAGGCAGCTAATTTCCGCTGCAAGAAGACTGTATGGCCTAAAAGAAGCTTGAGGCAAGAAGTGGCTGAAAAAGATTTTTAGCATGGAGAAAATAAATGAGAGAGGAAGCTGTCGGCATCCTTGACTGCACTTGACTGGCACAAAGTGCCTTGTTTGTTAGCCAAGTTCGAGGGCATTTAAGCCGCAGCAGCAACAGGTGGCAAAAGCCAGAGAGAAAATGGCCAAAGAGGACGCACTCTGATTGAGTTAGTTAGTTGCCCAGCTCTTTCCCCTCTTTCAGCCGGAGACTTTGCCACGCCAAATTTAACAGCAATTGCAAAACTTTTCAAACCCAGAACAAGTTGAGGTAAGGGGTGGTTGAAGCTACAACTTTCAGATAATTTGTCTACCAAATCTAAAGGTAAGGCCCACCTACTAAAAGGGACACACGAAAATGTCCAATGATGGATGGGAAAATGAAATGTTTTCCATTTTAGCATATGATAAAATGGGTTAAGCGGGCGTAATGCAAAAGACGGGGGTCAGTCAAACGTTTAGAAAATCATTTCCCCCATGAGAAACACAATTTTCTGGTCATAAAATTAAATCAAAATTTGATAAGTAAAAGAGGGGTAGGCAAAAAAAAATTGGAGTGAGGTCCCCACACTCATAACTCAACCTTTGCTATATTTATATGCAATCAACGGACCATATATTAGTTGATGTAATCTAGTCAATGTCGCTTATCAACAAATTTTAGTTCTAGCTGATATTTATAAAAATACCTGATAACGAATTTTAGCGCTTGCCAAAAGATTACACGCATTGAAAAGATTTCATTTTTGGGGTGGTGCCCACAGCCAATTCACGGCGTTAAATTTCCTCATATGTAAAGTAAATTTAACTTCCTTTGGTTTAAATTGGTTTTTATTTGGGATCTTTGGGGTGGAAGCTCAAATTCCGCTGTTGTTTTAATTTACAGGATTTATTACGTCGTGGCAAAAGGTTTAAGGTGTGAGCCCATTTTAAAGAGATGAGAAACTGGTTAGTGAATACAGGGAATATTTGTATATTCAAACACTTATTAATTTCTATTTCCAATTTGAAATTTGGAAGCATTGCACTTGATGATTTGGCACACAATATTTATAATAAAAACAACTAGGAAAATTACTCTCAATAAATACTCAATAAATGCCCACACCAACTTTATTTAATAATTTGTCACCGGAAAATGATTTCTTTGCTTAATGAAGCCAAAAATTCGAGGTCCACGTCACTATAAACGCCCATAGCCCACAGAGATCGAAACAAAAAGCGGGGAATATGTATGAGATTGAGATGGGTTGGAAGAAGGGGCGCATTCAGGCATGGAAAATGCACCAGCAACAAAAACAAATGCAAAAAACAACAGCAACAGCAGCGACAATGCAACAATGAGATCGCTTATCAGTTGGCGTCTAATTTACGGCAATGAGCCGCCGTGACGACAGACTGACTATGTAGCACCAGCAGCTTTAATCCCATACAGAAAACACATGTATCTGCGAGTATGTTAATCTCCAATGGAGCCGAGTGTGGTGTGTGTGCGTGGAGATTTCGGACAAAATCTGCTTTAAAATTATTTCATTCTGAACTCTGACATTTCCCCGAAATTTTTGGGGTGATGTGGTAATTATATTTAACTATCAAAACTTCGCTTACTTGAGTCATATAGCAAGAATTAAATTTTAGTCGGAATATGTTCGTGATTATTGTATTTGATTTTTTAAATGTTTAAACATGTTCTAAGAAAACTATAAAAAAAAAACGATTAAACACTTTTAAAATATTCTAAGTAAAAAATAAATTATTGTGTTATTACGCTGTTTTTGTTTGGTTCCATTCTTAAAATGTTTAAAAATATTTCGAGAAAACAATCAAATCTTTAAAAACACAATTAAAAAAAAATATAATTTTTAAATTTTACATTTCCTGCGTTTTTTAAACAACTTTTTAAAGTTTTCAAAGAGACTTACCTCGAATCGAACTTCTTGCCATCGGCCTGCAGGGTTCCAGTGTAGTGCATGGTGAGGGAATCGCCGGACTTGGACTTTTGGTCACACACCTCCGGCGTGCTGATCACCTCCACTTTCAGATCCTCGGCGCTGACGAGGCTGTTGCTGATGGCCACCACCAGAAGGCACGACAAAACGAGAATGGATTTCAACATGGCTGCAAGATAAATGGGGAAACTTGATTACCAAAAAAATATGAGACTTTCGCAAAAATAAAGAACGTGTTTAAACACTCGACTACAAGGAGTGAAAATTTCTTAATAAAGAGGCATACTTTAATGGATTCGATTCGATAAAACTAATTTCTTGTTTATAGGACGTATAGGTAAATTTATTTAATAACTCTGAAATACCTTGATCATAAAATAATAGTAAAGACACTTATTTTTGTCCTTGGAAAGTTCCAAAACGATTTCCACTAACTCGAAACTAAACCAAATCACCAATGCCGGCTTTGGATTAATGCTCATCACTTTTATACGAATTTTATTATGAATTCATCTTCACTATCATCTGTTGTCCATCATCTTCGGCTTAATCATCATATAAGCGTTGCACAAGCGTTAAATGTTGAATTTAAACCAATTACCCGGAAAGGTGTAATTTTTTTTTGCTCAACAGTGTAAAGTTGAAATTGAAATTGAATGGACGAAGAGGGGGAATCCACGGCGATTGCGAATGGGATGCGCGAATGGGACGGCAAAAATTAGTCATTATGCAAATGTGCAATTCATTGCAGAGTCGGGTGCCGAATTCGACCAACCAGCTTTGACCATCTCGACCAGCTGGAGGGGATTATGCAAGCCAAAACCAAAGCCAAGCGAAATTATTGCGCGTACATGGTGGCGTATGCGTAATGTCCGCCGTGGTATATTCCAATGGGATGTGTTGGTGGGTGTTTCTGGTTAAATGAAAGTTTTGAAAGCGCCTAGGTCACCCAAATAAAAAAAAGACGCACACAAAAAATTCAAATAGCCGCAAAAAATAACTAAAAAGGCATACAAAAAAATAAAATATGGGGGGACTTTATATAGATGGAAAACTTTCACTAATGGAAAGGCAATGGTCAAGCCTCAATTACGTGAAATCGACATTAACATCTTTCGATCTTCCTCTTCAACTGCTCTCTTTTGTTTCTGCTTCTTTTTCTTTATGCAGTGGATGGCTTACGCAGTGAAAACTGAACGATATGAAAATCTAAGATCATTAAATGAAAGATTTTTATGACAAACCCATTTTTCAAAATTAAAAAAATTAAGGCCACAACGATTTCTTTCTATACTTATGTATAGGGTCTAAACAAAATTCGTTTTTTATTCCTTTCGTTACAGTGAACATCCTCTTATAACTTTTATCGGTTGACTGCATCATGCGACCATTTCTGTGGTCTTAAAACCTGTTGGGGCGATCCAGCTTCTTCTTTTCCACACGTATCTTTTTGTTTTATTTTTTTTGGAATGACTTTTATGAGAGGTTCAGTGAACTGGCGGTACGAAGTTTACCGTAAGAGTTCCAATTCACAGACCGGCGCTAAGTTTTTCGGAAAATCTCGCCCTAAGCGACACGTCAGGAGTTTTTCTTACTTCCCGAGTAAGAAATGCTAATTACTGAACCGATCGTGATTAGTTGGGGAGCAACAATAACAAATACCAGAGACCGCCCGGCAATATTTTTTATTTTTATGGACTTGAAGCGATAAGCTCTCTTTCTCCTCTTCTTTCGTTCAGTTTTCTTGGGGCGTACGTATATATGGGTATACCATACACATGTGTGTGTTGGCGTTGGACTGAATATGAATGGAAGAGACACGACAGCAATGGCAAAGTACACGCTTTCTTTCGATTTCTCGAATTCATTTCATTTCTTAATGAGCACACTTTGTAGATTTTTACGCTAAGCCAAGCACACGATTTTCGATCTGCTATTTGTATATACCTTTTGTCTTCCACAGATGGATTATCACTCGATTCCGGCGAAGGGTTGGGGGGGCGGATGCGTTGGACGAACAACAAAAACACGCGAGCAAGCGGCGAGAGAAGTGGAGACACGTCCGTTTCGATCGAAGTGCTGCCGAGAAATGCTGGAATAGTCGCCGGCGACGTTGTTTTACTACTCGCGACCCCAACACTTGGAAAAATCGTAGATAATAATTTTTAATAATCTCAGTACTGGCAGTTTCCGGTTGACCATAATTTCAAGAGTGGTATTTTCTATATTTTCTTTTAGATTTTATAAGTTTTTACTTTCGAAGATTTTAGGCGAATTTCATTTGAACAAATTTTATTATTAATTATTATCAGATTTCTGTAGCACTGCATACACATCTTATAAAAATATTTTCCAATTTTTTTTTATATTTTAGGTACCAATTTATTTAATTTGAATAGTTAGCCCCCTTTTGCATCTTTGCAAGTGCTATAAAAATTTGGTCCAAAAGTTTTATTAAATTGAATAGCAATTTGTCTCACTGCACCCGCATATTAAAGCGAACCACTCTTTGGAGAGAGCAGGAGAGAAAGGTAGCTAATGATAGTGGGCAAGGGGAGGGGAGAAAAGGTGCCACCTTCATCCACACGTGTAAGTGTAGTGTAAGAGAACAAGAGAGAGTGGAAGATCGTGTATCTGTGGATGTAAGAGAGATCTGTTGACTGCCTCAGTGGGGGGCGTGGGGCGAGCGAACGAAAGAGAGCGCTACGGGAGCACTTGTCCACGTAATCAAGTTGTTAATTTCTCTTTTGTTCAGGGGCGGATCAAGTAAATAAAGGGTTAGACAGAACTCCTAAGTTTTATTATCCAATCTATGAATAACGATTATTAAATTCTACAAAACTTACAGGGAAAATTTTAGTACGGATATATATTCCGAAAAGTTAGTGATCCTGCAAAAAACTTTAACCAAAAACCGAAAATATATAGAACCCAGAGGACGCACAACCTGCTCGAGCACTTTTTCAAATTTAACTGAAAGGTGTTTGTGGCACAAGTTGAAATGTTGCATGTTGCTGGCAGTCCTTTGGCTACAAAGTTGCTGAAACACTATGCACCGCCTTCTTTTAAAGGCGCAGGCGCTGATTTTATTTGTGGGTGGAGCTTGATAGAGCACGCTAATTGAATGATTGGACAAAAAAATTAACGAATATTTGATCTTTATTATCTCTGATGTCTTTATTATTTTATTTTACTCCACTAAAGTTGTGACTTGCATTATCCAATTCATATAGTTCGCCACATCTGTGTGCACAGTTAGACCTCCCTTTGCACAAATTTTAGATCCATAGCTGACAACACCGTACTGAACGGTCCGAACTTCTCCATTGTAATTAATCTCTGCACTTAATGGACCTCCCGAGTCTCCATCACAGGTATCACTAGTTTCACTGCCGGTACAAATCTGAGATTGATCAATCTTTTTACCAAATTTCCTCACACAATACGTAGAATTCGCTTTAGGTAGAGTGGTTTTTTGCAAAATCGTACTTATTTGGTCATTTTCAAGCCTACCCCAGCCGGTGACGTTAAAATGTAAAACATTTTGCATTTGCGTGTTCAGAAGGAGACATATCGGCCTGACATAGTCTAGGGAAATCGTTTTTGGTTAAGGAGGGGCCAAAAAGCTATAACATTTTATTACCTGAAAACTGCACCGATTGCTCCATTCCAAGAAGACCAATATCATGCTCAAAGTTTCCGGTGTAGTTGAATCCTGAATGAGCAATTTTCTTATCGACATTTATATTATAGGCTATTGGTATGCAAACACCCGAAAAACAATAATGGCTGCGATTTTCCGTATCGTATTCGCCCAATCGCACGGTCCTGCAAAGAAAACTTGGATAATCCCTAGGGAAAATTTCATCAGAAGCACTAACATGTGATAAGTTGATAGGCAATGCGCTGCCGTCAGAACAAATCCTGTAAGAGATTATTGGATTAACCTAAGTTCTAGTCAATTATTAAGTTAAAATACACACGTGAAGTAATAAGGGAGCCGCCACAAATTGAAGTACCCATTTTCATTACCAATACCATCCATGGATTCGAGAGAATGTCTGTATCTTCACCTCCACCTATCTTTCCAAAAGCTTCGGTACTACCTAATTTTCCGCAATCCCTCTCCAGCAAGAAGGCTGATCCATTTTTAGGCACAAGAAACAGGCAGACCACGACCCCAATAACCACTGGTACTCTCATAATGATAATCTGAAAGACTGAATGAAAAGCCCCCAGCACGCGATTCTTTTATAGGAACTTCTTATCAATAATTCTAGGAAGAACTTAAAGTCCAAAAGCGGCTAAATTTTATTATTTTTTTAAATATTTTTTTTTGAACTGGGATGCATAGATTAAGCAATAAAAATCTACATCAATAGAATTCTTTAGAATTTCATTCTTATCAAAAATAAAATTATGGTTTTATAAATTTGTAAATTGTGAGCAATTAGTTTGTATATACAGAATATTTAAATTGGTTAATTTAAAAGTTAAATTAAGTTCTCTCCATGGTAAACTATCTCTTCGCTCAAAGGGTTTCCAGAGTCGCCATTACATGATTCACTGGTTTTACTGCTGCCACAAATCTGGATTTGATTAACTCTAAAACCAAAATAATTGGCACAATGCGATTCACTTCAGATATATGGGCGGTCTGCAACTCTCACTTTGTAGATTTTTATGGGGTTCGGAAAATAACACACAAAGTACTACACAAATGTATAATACTTGAAAATGATTAATACGCACAGTATACTATTCCTTGTGTATTATACATGTCTACATGTATTTTATTCTGACAAGTATATTAAGTAGTGTACTTTATTTGTATAATTTTGATTTCGTACACCAAAGTTTTGTTTATACTTAACATACTTGTTCGAAAGTAAAATTACTATTTTCCAAAGAAGTTAACAAATATTTGATCAAATTAAAACCATTTTATAATTAATGTTCTTTAAGTAGGTACTTTATTATCTTTGATGTTTGTCGTTTATTATATTACTTCATTTCATTCTACTAATTTTGTGTAATGTTAAAGACAACTATCCAAGTAAGAGCTTCTTCCTCTATTCTGCTCCAATTTTAAGAAGAACTTGCATTATCCAGTCCATATAGTTGGCCACATTTGTGTTAACACTTCGACCTCCCTTTGCACATTTTTCAGATCCATAGCTGACAATACCGTACTGAACGGTCCGAATTTCTCCATAGTAAATGATCTCTGCGCTCAAAGGACCTCCAGAATCTCCTACGCAGGTATCACTAGTTTCACTGCCGGCACAAATCTGGGATTGATCAACCGAAGTACCAAATTGTGTTATACAATACAAAGGATACGCCTTAGATAGAGTTGTTTTTTGCAATATTTTACTCTTTTGTCCGTTTTCAAGCATACCCCAGCCGGTGACTTTGAATCGTAAAACATTTTCCATTTGCACGTTCAGGAGAAGGCATATCGGCCTAACATAGTCTAAGGAAAATATTTTTAGTTTGGTAGGTCCTTGGAGGTTTATACCATTTAAATACCTGAGAACTGCACCATTTGCGCCATTCGAAGAAGTCCAATATCGTGCTCACCGTTTCCGGTATAGTTGAATCTTGAATGAGCAATTATGCTATCGACATTTATATAATAGGCTCTTGGTGTGTCGTATTCGCCCAATCGCACGGTCCTGCAAAATAAAACTTGGTAAATCTCTAGGCAAAAATTTCAACAGAAGCACGAACATGTGATAATTTGATAGGCAATGCGCTGCCGTCAGAACAAATCCTGCAAGAGATTATTGGATTAACCTAAATTCTAGTCAATTATTAAGTTAAAATACATACGCGAAGTGATGAGGGAGCCGCCACAAGTTTCATTACCCATTACCATTACCATTACCATCCATGGATTCGAGAGAATGTCTGTATCTTCACCTCCAGCTATTTTCCCAAAAGCTTCGGTACTACCTAATTTTCCGCAATCCCTCTCCAGCAAGAAGGCTGATCCATTTTTAGGCACAAGAAACAGGCAGGCCACGACCGCAATAACCACTGTTACTCTCATAATGGCTCTTGAAAGACAATGAAAAGCACCCAGCACGCGATTCTTTTATAGGAACTCCTTATCACCAATTCTAGGTAGAACAAATTGAACCGAATTTAAAATCCAAAAACGACCGAATTTTATAATTATTTTTTTAATGATTTTTTCTTGTGAACTGCGATTAATAGATTGAGCAACACAAATCTACATCAAAAGATTTCTTAAGAATTTAATTCTTATCAAAAATGAAATTATGGGCTTATAAATAAATTGTGAGCACTATGTACATGAAGAATATTTAAATTAGTTAATTTTTAAATTTAATTAAGTATTTATGATAAAATTGTAATACATAATTTCCATATGGAACTTAAACTAAATGTTACAATTTAATTTTCACTTGGACTCACTGCCGGCACAAATCTGGCTTTGATCAACTGTAAACCAAAAACAAGAGGGAACGTTATAGTCGGATGCCCCGACTATCAGATACCCGTTACTCAGGTAAAGGGAGTGCGAGGGAGATGGAGATAGAGATAGAAAACGTTGATCACGCATAACTTTTTAACGAATGGTCCGATTTGAAAAATTTCTTCTACATTTCGATAGGTATTGATAAACACAATAAAACTGCATTTTTACTTTTCCAAAATATTAAAATTTTTAAAATCGTATATAAGCGATTGTGGGCGTTAGAGGGGGCGTGGCACCATTTTGAAACAAACTTGCGCTGCGTAGGAACTCCTAGAATCTGCATGCAAAATGTCAACCTTCTAGCTTTTATAGTTTCTGAGATCTCAGCGTTCATACAGACAGACAGACGGACAGACGGACAGACGGACAGACAGACGGACAGACGGACAGACGGACAGACGGACATGGCTAGATCGACTCGGCTAGTGATCCTGATCAAGAATATATATACTTTATGGGGTCGGAAACGCTTCCTTCTCCCTGTTACATACTTTTGCACGAATACAATATACCCTTTTACTCTACGAGTAACGGGTATAACAAGAGAGAACGCTATAGTCGGGTGCCCCGACTATCAGATACCCGTTACTCAGCTAAAGGGAGTGCGAAAGAGATGGAGAAAAACTTTAATCCGCCGTAACTTTTTAACGAATGGTCCGATTTAAAAAATTTCTTCTACATTTCGATAGGTATTGATAAACACAATTAAACTGCATTTTTACTTTTCCAAAATATTGAAATTTTTAAAATCGTATATAAGCGATTGTGGGCGTTAGAGGGGGCGTGGCACCCTTTTGAAACAAACTTGCGCTGCGTAGGAACTCCTAGAATCTGCATGCAAAATGTCAATCTTCTAGCTTTTATAGTTTCCGAGATCTCAGCGTTCATACAGACAGACAGACGGACAGACGGACAGACGGACAGACAGACGGACAGACGGACAGACGGACAGACGGACAGACGGACAGACGGACATGGCTAGATCGACTCGGCTAGTGATCCTGATCAAGAATATATATACTTTATGGGGTCGGAAACGCTTCCTTCTCCCTGTTACATACTTTTGCACGAATACAATATACCCTTTTACTCTACGAGTAACGGGTATAACAAGAGAGAACGCTATAGTCGGGTGCCCCGACTATCAGATACCCGTTACTCAGCTAAAGGGAGTGCGAAAGAGATGGAGAAAAACTTTAATCCGCCGTAACTTTTTAACGAATGGTCCGATTTAAAAAATTTCTTCTACATTTCGATAGGTATTGATAAACACAATTAAACTGCATTTTTACTTTTCCAAAATATTGAAATTTTTAAAATCGTATATAAGCGATTGTGGGCGTTAGAGGGGGCGTGGCACCCTTTTGAAACAAACTTGCGCTGCGTAGGAACTCCTAGAATCTGCATGCAAAATGTCAATCTTCTAGCTTTTGTAGTTTCCGTGAGATTCTCCACGCATATTCTTGGGCTTCCTACGCAGCGCAAGTTTATTTTAGCCGAGTGCCACGCCCCCTCTAACGCCCACAATAGCCCACTAACGATTTTAAAATGTGTCTGGCGCCCACACCTTTTAAGATTTCCGAGAAGTATAAATGCAATTTTGTTGTGTATATTTATACCTATCGAAATGTAGAAGACATTTTTCAAATCGGACCATTCATTAAAAAGTTATACGCAATCAAAAATTATATATCTATCTCCCTCGCACTCCCTTTAGCTGAGTTACGATTATTAGTCGGGACACGAACCCGACTATAGCGTTCTCTCTTGTTTATATGTAACTTTTTCAAAACTCAATATTTTTCAAAAGTGTAGAAGCAAAAAGTTGCTTACATCTACGAGCATATTTCTGTAAAAGTACTATAGAAATTCCAACGAAGCTTAATCCTACAGTGTTTAGCTTGAACCATTATTTTTTGCACCTTCAAAAAGGATAAGGTGACGAACGATTCAAAATTTTTTTAAGTCTAAAAGCAGAACGTTGCTTATCTACTGAGCGTATTTGTGTAAAAGTACGATTAGAAATTCCAATGGAGCCAAATCCCACAGCGTTTGGCGTGAACGATCCTTTCCAACTGACGGCACAGCTTAAAACAATACAAACCTACAGCATTTATTGTTATCTGGTAATTATACCCGTTACTCGTAGAGTAAAAGGGTATATTGTATTCGTGCAAAAGTATGTAACAGCTAGAAGGAAGCATTTCCGACCCTATAAAGTATATATATTGTTGATCAGGGTCACTAGCCGAGTCGATATAGCCATGTCCGTATGAACGCTGAGATCTCGGAAACTATAAAAGCTAGAAGATTGACATTTTGCATACAGATTCTAGGAGTTCCTACGCAGCGCAAGTTTGTTTCAAAAGGGTGCCACGCCCCCTCTAACGCCCACAATCGCTTATTCAATATTTCGAAAAAGTAAAAATGCAGTTTTATTGTGTTTATCAATACCTATCGAAATGTAGAAGAAATTTTTTAAATAGGACCATTCGTTAAAAAGTTACGGCGGATCAAAGTTTTTATCTCCTTCGCACTCCCTTTAGCTGAGTAACGGGTATCTGGTATTCAAGGCATCCACGATAAGAGGAGGAGACTAAATTTATTTGGAATTTTTGTCATGACGTCATATGTGAGATTCGACGAGTTCGTCACTCACTCTACACTCCTCTATTATTTAATTTTATTCTACTAATGTTGCGTAATGTTGGATACAATTATCCAATCCAGCTTCTTCCTCTAGTCAGCTCTGTTTTTAATAAGAGCTCGCATTATCCAGTCCATATAGTTGGCCACATTTGTGTTAACACTTAGACCTCCCTTTGCACAAATTTGAGATCCATAACTGACAATACCGTACTGAACGGTCCGAACTTCTCCATTGTAATTGATCTCTGCGGTCAAGGGACCTCCAGAGTCTCCCACGCAGGTATCACTAGTTTCACTGCCGGTACAAATCTGGTATTGATCAACCGTTTTTTCATATTTCGTCATACAATACGAAGGATACACTTTAGATAGAGTGGTTTTTTGCAATATGTTACTCATTTGGCCATTTTCAAGCATACCCCAGCCGGTGACGTTAAAACGTAAAACATTTTCCATTTGCACATTCAGGAGGAGGCATATTGGCCTGACATAGTCTGAGGAAAATATTTTTAGTTGGATAGGTCCTTGGAGGTTATACCATTTAATTACCTGAGAACTGCACCTTTTGCGCCATTCGAAGAAGTCCAATATCATGCTCACCGTATCCGATATTGTTGAATCCAGAATGAGCAATTTTCTTATCGACATTTATATTATAGGCTTTTGATGTGCCGTATTCGCCTAATCGCACGGTCCTGCAAAATAAAACTTGGTAAATCTCTAGGGAAAAATTCAACAGAAGCACTAACATGCTAAAATTTGATAAGCAATGCGCTGCCGTCAGAACAAATCCTGCAAGAGATTATTGGATTAACCTAAATTCTAGTCAATTATTAAGTTAAAATACATACGCGAAGTGATGAGGGAGCCGCCACAAGTTTCATTACCCATTACCATTACCATTACCATCCATGGATTCGAGAGAATGTCTGTATCTTTACCTCCAGCTATTTTTCCAATAGCTTCTGTACTACCTAATTTACCGCAATCCCTCTCCAGCAAGAAGGCTGATCCATTTTTAGGCACAAGAAACAGGCAGACCACGACCGCAATAACCACTGTTACTCTCATAATGGCTTTTGAAAGACTGAATGAAAAGCCCCCAGCACGCGATTCTTTTATAGGAACTCCTTATCACCAAATCTTGAGAGAACAAATTGACCACACCCCGAAAAAAATTAAAAACATTTTTCATGATTTAAGAACAATCCGTTCGCTATTTGTCGTTCATAAAAAACGAACGTCATATAAATTATATGACAATGTTCTTAAAACCACCCCATTTTTTTGGAATCCAACTCTATTTTTTCGGTCAACTTTTGTGAACGAGCGTTCATGAATTGTCAACAAACGGCCTTACGCACTTTTTTACCCCGTTTGGTATTGATTTTTTACCGTTTCGAACTTTTTTTTTTTCTGGGTGGCAATATTTAAAATCCAAAAACATCAGAATTTTATAACCTGGGATCAAAAGATTTCCTACGAATTTAATCCGTATCAAAAATGAAATTTTGGGATTATAAATAATTTGTTAGCACCAAGTTTCAAAATGAACAATATTTAAATTAGTTAATTTAAAAGTTTAATTAAATAAACTTATTCCACATTGCACCTAAACTACATGTAACAGCTTTATTTTCACTTGGAGGAAGCAAATATTTTGTGAATGTATGTATATTGTTTTTGCAGCAACTTAAATAAATATGGTAATGGTAAAGTTCAATGCAAAATTATTAAAGTTAACCTGTTCTATTGCAGCAGAGGGCTGACCCAGTTAAATTTAACTCAATATCATTTGAGTTGCGAGTCATAACACCTATAATCCAGTTCATGTAGTGCGTCACATTTGTGTAAACACCTAGACCTTTACAATTGGGAGATCCATAGCTGACAATTCCGTATAGAACGGGCCGAACTTCTCCGTTGTAATTGACCTCTGCGCTCAAAGGACCTCCAGAGTCTCCATCACATGAGTCACTGGAATTACTGCCGGCACAAATCTGGCTTTGATCAACTATATACTTATGTTTATTGGCACAACGCCTACGATCTATTTCAGATACAGTGGCAGTCTGCAGAATAGGACTAAATTCACTATTGGCAAGTCTACCCCAGCCGGTAACTTTAAATCGTGATACGATTGGCATTTCCACACTGTAGAGCAGACATATCGGTCTAATATAATCTAGGAAAAATACCTTTAGTTTAGGAGGTACTTGGTGGTTATCAAAGGAAATTACCTGAGAACAGGACCTCCATGGCCATTCGAAGGAGTCCTATGTCATACTGTTCGTTGTTTGATTCAAGGTATTCTTGGGGAAACATTCTTCGATCGACTTCGAATTCATAAATTTTTCTCGGATGCCGCGTATCGTATTCGCCCAATCGCACCGTCCTGTAATTAACAATTGGGGTATCTCATCGGAAACATTTTAAAAATGCACTTACATATTGACATTGGAAATGCAGTGCGCCGCCGTGACAACGAAACCTGCAAAAGAATAGAAGCGTATTGGACGAAATTAAAATGAAACCAATTGAAGACATATAATACATACGAGAAGTGATGAGGGATCCGCCACAAGTCGAATTGCCCAATACCATTACCCTAACCATCCACGGATTTGAGTATATGTCTGCATTTTGACCTCCAACGATCCTAAAACCTATTCTTTTTGTCTTTGCACAGTTGCTATCGAGCAGGGAGGCTGATCCTGTTCTAGATCCAAGAAATAGGCAGGCCAGGATCGCAATTAAAGCTAATACTTTCTTCATGGTTTTGGGCAGACTACTTTAGATGCCTTCTACGCGCGATTCTTTTATACAGTAAAAGCTTATCGACCTTTCTTCGGAAATACTTTAAATTCAAATAAAATAACCAAAGGGCCGGAAATTAAATCTAATCTCTTCTTATGAATATTAAGCAATAAAAATGTATACCGATTTTCAATATTTTTCATCAAATTACAATGAAACAACGATTACTTATAGATCGAGGGGGGTGTGAGGCCAAATATGAAATTTTTTATTTTTTATCGAACATTGAATTATTTAGTTTTAAAGAAAGTATGACTACTCAGAGCTCTTGCGGTAGCCCTTATTTGGCTTTAGAATGAATTTTTGAGTACAATTTAAATTAAAATTTCTTTTTGTTTATACATTTTCTCATCAATGCAACCCCTTCCTAAATTTAAAGTAGTCATCAAGACAGTGACCAATCCAGCATTCATATTCATTCATATTCACAAAATTAGGTATACGTACGTACTTGAAATAAATGAATCATTTTAAATATATGTCTTGGACCAGTGCAACATACGTCAATTATAAGCGAAGACCCCAGGGGAGGAACTAATATATTATATACAATATCATTTCAGTCAGAAAGTGTGACTGAGACGTTTTCCGACCCTATATTCTAAAACGGAGAAATATAGAGGAATCGATCTAGCCATTGTCTGTCTGTACACAAACTAGTCTCTCAGTTTCGGGGTGAAACCTTCTCAAAAGTCTTATTTCTATTACAGGTAGTAATATTTTGTATTTTTCGCTTGATTTAATTTTATTAAAATTGGAAGACTTTATTGTATAGCTGCTATAGGAACGATCGGAAAATGAATGAGAAATTAAAAGGAAACAAGAGAGAACGCTATAGTCGGGTTGTTGTCCCGACTATCTAATACCCGTCACTCAGCTAAAGGGAGTGCGAACGCTGTGTCGGGTTGGTGTCCCGACTAATAATCGTAACTCAGCTAAAGGGAGTGCGAGGGAGATAGATATATAATTTTTGATTGCGTATAACTTTTTAATGAATGGTCCGATTTGAAAAATGTCTTCTACATTTCGATAGGTATAAATATACACAACAAAATTGCATTTATACTTCTCGGAAATCTTTAAAGATGTGGGCGCAGGACCCATTTTAAAATCGTTAGTGGGCGATTGTGGGCGTTAGAGGGGGCGTGGCGCTCGGCTAAAATAAACTTGCGCTGCGTAGGAAGCCAAAGAATATGTGTGGGAAATCTCAACCTTCTAGCTTTTGTAGTTTCTGAGATCTCAGCGTTCATACAGACGGACAGACGGACAGACAGACAGACGGACAGACGGACAGACGGACAGACGGACAGACGGACAGACGGACAGACGGACAGACGGACAGACGGACAGACGGACATGGCTAGATCGACTCGGCTAGTGACCCTGATCAAGAATATATATACTTTATGGGGTCGGAAACGCTTCCTTCTAGCTGTTACATACTTTTGCACGAATCTAGTATACCCTTTTACTCTACGAGTAACGGGTATAAAAAACTAAAGCATCACCTAGCAAACAAAAAACAAAAAAAAATGTACAGAGACTGGGGATTGAACCGAGGACGTCGATTGTTTGATTTGTTTAGTGCTAAATTTCCCAAGACATTTACATATCATATGTGTTTCATTTGCAACTAGTTAAATTCCAGTTGCCTTTTAACTAGACCTTAATATGTAATTGTTCTACCAGTTAAATATTTTTAAGGTTTTTTTTGTCAGAAAGGTACTAGTCCGAGACAAGTTTCTTTTTTACTAGTTTTGTATCAATCATTTTTTCGACTAGCACAAGTTTTCTAGACCCTGTGTAGTCCAAATGCATTCAGACAAATTCCGGTTGCTTTATAATAGTTGTATAACTAGTTGTTTTTCAGACTAGTTCGCATTTTTCCTGTAGGGTTAAGTTTCGGACTTTTTTCGAATTTCTTCCTATATCCCAATTGCGCCAGTTTTCATTTCATTTTAAAGTCAATAGATCAGAGCTTAACTTTGCCATACAGATTTTTATGATTGGATAAGTGATGGCAGCCCAGCAGCTCGACAAAGTAAGTCGGCTGTAAATATCGTATAAACTCGAAATAAATCCGTTGAAAAATTATAATTGGTACAAACTTAAAGCTTTCATCCTACCGAATTAAACAAGCCGGATATGGCCCAAATGCATGGAAAATTGGATTTGTGGTGGATTTTTAAAGCTCGGATTTTTCAACTTTTTTTGGTTGACAGAGTCGATGTTTAAGATTTATCATAGGCCTTTATTTTAGTTTATTCTTTTACAGTGATAAAGACTGGCTCACTTGAAGTTCCATTCGAGTGGCGATTCTTAAGATCTGTAATCCAGTTCATATAGTACGACACATATGTGTAAACACCTCGACCTCTACAACTTTTCGATCCAGAGCTGACAATTCCGTATAGCATGGGCCGAAATTCTCCGTGGTAATCGATCTCTGCGCTCAAAGGCCCCCCAGAGTAGCCAGCACATGAATCACTGGTTTGACTGCCGGCACAAATCCTACTCGTATCTCGCCCGGCAAACCATATCCAGGTACAATACATACGATTCACAGTGGCGTTCTGAAGAATGCGACCCATTTCACCATTTTCAAGCATACCCCAGCCAGTGACCTTAAATTGAAATTTGAATGGCGTTTCCTCATTGTAGAGTAGGCATATCGGTCTGATATAATCTAAAGAAACGACCTTTAGTTTAGGAGTTTAGTTTAGGAGCTGGTTATCCCATGAATTTACCTGAGAGCAGCACATCTATTTTCATTCGAAGGAGTCCTATGTCATCCAGGTTTATATCGCGTTTTTTAGGAACCCATTTTCCATCGACAGGGAATTCAAAATTTCCGACGGGGTTCCTCGTAGATTCACCCAAGCGCACCGACCTGTAAATAGAAATTGGAGTACCACATCGGAAACATTTTAAAAATGCACTTACATGCTATCATTGGAAAGGCAATGCAACGCTGTCAAAACAAAACCTACAAAATCAAACAAAATTGGATTAAATAAAAATAAAATTAAATATATTGATCAACTACATACGAGAAGTGATGAGAGAGCCGCCACATTTTGATTCACCCATTATCAAAACTCTAACCATCCAAGGATCTGAGGATATTGGCGATGTCCTTGATTTTACGCATTTGGGTTCGAGCAGGGAGGCTAGTCCCCTTTTAGTACTTAGAAGCTGGCAGGCCAGGATCGCAATTACAACTAATACTTTCTTCATGATTTTGCGGGGACTGAATGAGAACCAACATGCTCGCTATTCCTTTTATATAGTAAAGGGCTATGGGCGTTTATTGCGAAAACCTTATGAAAGATCCATAGGCAGGAAATAACTTATAATTTCATGCTTTCTTATGGTTATTAACACAAAGCTATACATCGATGCTTAACAGTTTTCCTCAGAATACGATAACTTTATAGACGGATACAGAGGGGGACTGGTCCAAAAGCCTCCCATTTTTCCACTAAAATCTATCAATCTGTGTATTAATTTACGACAAGATCGATTTTTTCCTTAGAATATCATTAGATTACGTTTGGATGTGTGGAGTACACGAGAAATTTGTTTCATTACAATGTATTTCTTATCAATAAAATGATTTATTGGTTTTAAAGAAAGTGTGGATACTGACAGAAATTCATTTTAAAGAAACAACTTCACATACGTCATTATAAACCGTAGCACTTCCACTTATCAACAAATACAAAAAGCACATGTATTTGCTACTACGAGTCCATATTCAAAGAACTAAACTAATCTAACTAGACCCAACACTGTCTTTCTGAAATTATGATCTTATTTTTATAAATATGAAAAAACATGAATTGTTTTTATAGCTTTTTTAGTGATGATTTGCTTTACATACATAAATAAAATAAAATTTTATTATTATAAACTAAAATTATTATGTATAGTATTTTCAACTAATGTTCTCCTTTTGTAGATTGGGTCCATAGAACGACGCTGGTAGAGATGATATTTGTGTCGCGATCTCTTCCAGTTCTTTTCTGTTTAAACACATTTGTCGTAGGTCAGTAACGAGCGTGAGAAAGCATTCGTCAGTACCATTTTTTTTATTGCTGCTGCGATAAGGCAGGCCGTCGATGAAAATGGGAAGTCCTGATAACGAAATAGTAAGAATTGTGGTGAGTTAACCCCTTGAGACCGTAAAGTTGGATATGGTCACTTCGTTGGAAATCGAAGAAATATATTTTGCAAATAAACTTCGGTTACTAGGCTCGAATATCATTATAATCTGCATTTGGATCGAATTTGAAAAAAAATATATACTTAAAATATTTCAAGAATTATAAAATTACTCGTTCGACGCATATGAAAATTATAATGAAGTTTAAAAAATCGGTTTTCCATTTCGTTTTAATAATTATTAAAGTAAGGGAGTTTAAAAAACTTTAAGTCGAAGGCAACAGTACGTATGAGTAATAATCTGCGAAGACAACGCGCAGATCCTACAACGCATTTTATCAAAAAATTATTATTTAATGCTTTAACTTGCATCTTATAAGCAAGAAAGAATACGACCATACAAATTTCCATGCATATGTGAAATTCCCTAAGGGCCATCTGAAAATCATCTCAGATAGAATATTACTTTGTAATTACAGTAAATGCTGCTCTGTGCTCTCCGCAGTTCTGTTCAACATCGTACTGTATTTAATTTAAGATAAGCTCCCCCAACTTGTTGTAGCTTTGCATAGATATCCGACCGAGCTCAGCTCAATCTGTACTATGTATATTTTCTATCGATGGGCACTCCCATGAAAGTGTCACCCTTGGATCGCTTTACGCCCCACTGAGCGCCGACGAGCGATAGCTAGATCGAATCAATTAAATGCAAACTGCCCAAATTAATTGAAAATCAGTCGAAACCAGTGGCACTCTCAAATCGGTCGTGTGTGGTCAAAAAAAAAAAAACGCAAAATAAAATGCTGCAGGAAAATCCAGATAAGTCGAATATGGCGAACAAATCGTTAGGATACGCCCTTAAACGGAGAAAAGATCGTTTTGTGGTCGAGCCAACCGTGGGAATCGAGAATCCAGCCTACGAACCCGATCTGGGTGGAGATATATCCTCAATCGGTGTCACCAATCGACAATGGCGAGTATATATCATCACTTATTATTAAGATGCAGCACAATTTAAGGCATGGGAAAATCTGAAGTTTTTGTGGCTAAAAACCAATAGTCATTATATTTTAGAAAATTATAATTTTATTAAATACATATTTATAAAGAAAAGATAACAATATTAATAATGAAAGAAATCTAAAATAATTACACTTTTTAAAGCTGTATATTTGTCAAGCTATAAAGAAACTTAATTAAACTTTAGTATCAAAAATAGAAATCAAACTTAAGCTGACTAACTAGAAACCCATGACGTGCTTGGTCTTGGGTCTCTTAGCTGGCCTGGGATTAGGATCACCCTCGATAATAGTATTCTGTCCGGGCAGCAGAAGAGAATGCTCGTGCCTAAAGTTGACAGGCGGTTCTTTTTTGGGTGTGATTAATTGCTCCTTAATGTGCTCATTGCTCTCGAGGATTGGAACCTCTGAGTAGTCAGCCGTGGTGGCGCCATATAGCTTGCGAAGATTCGTTCCCGGCACCAGGTCGGGATTTCCCTCCGTCGCCTCGTCTTCCCTGGACACCTCTGGCTGGCTGGGCAGTTGGTCCAACCAATTGGCCATTCGTTTCTCCGGCTCCATTTGCTTATCCTGCAAGCGCTCCTGGAACATTTCCCTGCTAACGTCTCGAGTGAAATCGTACTCCTCCATATCCCACACATCTATCAAACTGCGAGTCAACCAATCCGTGTAGTGAGACATCTGGTAAGCGGACTTTTGCCACGATCCACGGTTTATGCCCTTGTCTTTTTTGATATTTGTTTTGCCGGGAGTTTTCTTTTTGGTTGACTGTTTTGGTTTCTCCTTGGTTTTCTTCTTGGATTTCTTCTTAGTTTTACCTTCGGTTTTTATTGGTTTATCGGCTGGCTTTTCTGAGCTTTCTTTTTCCTCCTCTGGAACATCTGAATCTTCTATTCCATAGTCAATTTCGATTTCTTCTACTATCAAAGGTTTTTCCTCGGGTTTCGATCTTTTGGCGGCTTCTTGAAAAATGTCTCTAATTTCCGGTATGGCCTGGACTTCGGTGCAGCGAAGGCTCTGACGTTGGACGCGCTCCTGGATGATACTGGCACAGTAACGGATGGCTTCCGTGGTATGGAGACCGGTTCTTATCTCCTGGACGTGCTCCTCTTCGTCTCTAAGCGTTAGCCTTTGGCAGTAAACATCTCCCAAGCTGTTGGCACTTAAAAGCTGGGCAAAAGCGTTATCACTTGCCGCTTCCAATCGATTGAAACGCAGTCCTGTGAGGCAGGTCTTTACCCTTTCCGTAAGATCAGCGTAGACATTCACAAAACCCCTCAAACGAGCGTCTACTAAAGCTTCCTCCAAGGTGGGCGGAGAAAAGGGAATTGCTGGTGAGAACATTTCATCCACACTCCTCGCCTTACATCCCTTCAGCTCACAAACACGCAGATCGCTGGGTAAAACTCCAGCTATTGCAACATATTCACTGTCCTGGTAGGCGCAGGTGTCCACAAAACTGGGCGGATAGGTCATCTGATGTGTCCAGGTGACCACCGAACGATCGGTCAGCTTCTTACCCAAACACCTCGTGTCCAAGCAGTGCAGTTTGTGATTACTGGCCACGTACAGAAGGTTGGGATTCATACTTTTGGCCATGCAGGAGAAACCTTCGCATGCCTTTGAGTGAACATTGCTGGCGAAGCAGGGATTTAGTGGCTGATCGCATCGCACATCCACGGTGAGCAGAACGGGCTGCGAAAGATAGTGAAAGGTGCTCCCATCCGCTGGCATTAGCTGTGCCCAGTTGCAGGTGTTCTGCTTCAGTCCCTTGAGCAGGCAAATGTTATGCTTGGCTATATCCTGTTGCGTCAGAATGTCCACGAAGCGCAAGGAGCGATCCTGGCAGGCCAAAGCCAAGTGATTGGCATTGCCCAGTGATTGAGAGGCGCTTATAAATGGAGCTTCCCGACTGCTGAACGTGCTGTGGCAAATCAGTTCGTAGTCTTCGGATTCCAGCTTCCCGCCTCGCTTCAGTTCGTACAGGAAGACCTCGTTGAGGCAGCGTGCCAGGAATTTATGGTTGGGAATCGGATCTAACCTTTCAAGCGGGAGCAGTTGAAAGATTTCGCTGGAGGCTGCTTCAATTTTAGCCGAATGCACTGGTTCCCACAGCTCCGCTTCGCCTTTAATCTGGGAAAAGTGCAGATCCCTGAGGCCATTACCGCTGACATGCAGGGCCATATGGCCGCCTCCTTGAAAAGGAATCGTGCTGAGGTTTCCCCCAGTGTAGTAGTAATCGTAGCTGTGCCGGAACGAGGGGTTATCCTGGCGGGCAATGTGCTCGGCCATCTCGAACAGGCTGACATCGTAGACCTTTTGGGAATGCTTTTGCTCCCGCTGCTTCATGCTCTTGGTTCGCCTTTGGTATTGAGTCTTGTGGAATTGCAATTGCCGCGTCCATTCCTCGTAGGCATGGGGTCTCACCACGCAGCTATCCACGCGGGGAGTCTGCCCATCTGGGGCCACGAACAGAGGCAGTGGCACCGTCACCAGGCAGCTGGGAAAATCCTGCGCCATGTCCTCGTCCTGGTCGTGGAGCATTTGGCCCAGCATGCCGGTGTTTGCACCAGGATAAGAGAAATGCGGTGCGTTCTCCAGGGTCCTTCGCAGATAGACTTCATCCTGTTGATCCTCGCCGAAATCGATCTCGTCATCGGATTCATTGGCCTTGCTCTTTCGCTGGGCATTCGCCAAGTTGAGGGCGTTCTGATATCGTCGCGGCATGATTCTGAAAAGGGTTTATCAATGGGTAATGTCGTTTTGTATGGGGTTGTAAAATATTAAACCTGCTTGCTGGCTGATAATTCCCGTTGAATCCACGCTATAAGGACTATTCATTCAGTAATCCAGTCATTAATATATTTAAATGGAAAATAAAACGGATAAATTCAAAACACATGCCGTTTCTGCTTCTTCTTGAGCGCTTAAAAAACAGCTGTTTAGAGTGATGGTATTGGGAAAACGAAAATATACCATGAGATCTAAATGAAAGTACTTGTAAAGTGTAGTTAGTGGAGACACCCTTCTGGCATAGCAAATACAACGCCCTGCCACAGCGGAGAGCCCCTAATGAATTAACAGACATTTTTCAATTCGATTTGCTGATATCAAGTTGAAGAATTTACACAGGATTAACTTAATTTTAAATTTTTCATATGCCAGCTTTTCCTTGTTAAGATTTCCATAAGCAGGTATCAAGCAGGTACAAATAAACAAAATTCTTATAGAATTATGTAGATTGAGGCATTGGGGATAATCAAAATTTGCAGATTTTTAAGCGATAGTTTGAGGATCAACTGCAAAATACTTGACTTAATAAAAATCTTCAAAATTTGGAGTATTTTTTTTTTAACAATTTCTGTTTACGTTTACATTTGATCAAAAGGTCGAAAGTATGCAACAAGGTATCAGTTGTCGAAAAGTGTCGAAATCAAGGCTTGAAGCAATTATAAAAATTCATAAAATTTAAATCTAATTAATTATAACATTGTTATTATTATTATAGCAATAATATAATTAAATTAAATTTTAATACTCTGCCAATGTAAGAAAACGTTGTATCTTAACATTGCTGTTAGAAAAGCCAGGAAAGAGCGCCAAATGGGCGAAAAGGGAAACTGGTTTAAAGCGCCCTCTAGCTTTCAATTGCTAATTGACAATCGCTGTGGAGCATCGATAGAGTCTCCAACCATCGATAGCATAATCGAAGCAACTCCATTTAACAGAAATGTTAAGATACAACGTTTTTTTACATTGGCAGAACTGTTAGTCCTCTGCCGCTGCTCTGACAATGTAAGAAAACGTTGCATCTTAACATTGCTGTTAAAGAAACCGTGAAAAGGCGCCAAATGGGCGAAAATGGGAAACTAGATTTAAAAACGGGGCGCCATCTAGGAAGCCAATTGGAACGAAAGACAATCGCTAGAGGTGGCAAACCATGGATTGTGGACACTATACAGTGTTGGTTTACGAGGAAGACACTATCGCGATAGTTTTCAAACCATCGATACAGGTATCAGTTGTCTCACATCTCCAACCCAAAACCAAACTGCCCCAACGAACCGAACCGATTTTAGAGACTCGAAAGCAGCTGGGGAAATTACAAGAATTACAGAACTGATCCCGAGAACTACTGGCATCGCGGCGTGTGTGTGTGTGCGTGCGCGCGAGAGCGAGAGAAAAAACGTGAACGAAACAGAACGAGCACACAAATTACACAAGTTGTAAAAGAAAAGCCGAGGAAAAGTTGGCCCAGACCGAGTATTGATTTTTCATAGACAGTGCAGTTAGAGGGAACGGTCTCTTTTTTGATAACTGAAAGCACGGGCGTGAAGGAAAAGCGGTAGTAGTTTTTATCTCTTTTTTGAGACCCGCAGAAGAAGAAGAGCGAAAAGAACGGAAAGCGTCAGGTGAGTTTTCATATCCAACCACCGCACACACACACTCCCACCACACACCTACACACAGCGGGCACAATTAACACACATACGAGTGCAAAACAGACAACAAAACAAATGCCAATTGGAAGGTGCGAAAGCGGGGCGGGGGGATCATAAATTTAAACAAGTTCTAACTGTCTTCCCCTCCCTCTCTCGCCTATGCAAGTCGGGCATTTGTTTTGTTGCAGTTCTCTACTACTTTTCCCCCTGTCTCTCTTTCTGTCTTACCCTCTCTATCTCTCTCTCTGCGCCCCCATTAAAGAAAGAAAAAAAAGAACACACTGCCTCATCTAAACTTTTCATTTGCATCCCAGTATCTTTTTTCCAATTAGCACTATTGTATATTTTGCGCACTCTTCTTTTACTTAGTTAACAGTTAGTTGTTGTGTGCATGTCGTTGTTGTTGTTCTTGTTGCTTGTCATATCTCTACTAATTCATCCATTTATTATGTTCGTTTTTATTCGTTTTCATTTTGTGTGTTTTGGCTTTGGTTTCGTTGGTTAGTTTTCCTCGCTTTTCCTGCCTGCTAATTTTGACAAGCCCCAAATGGCTTCTGGCTCTGACGTAATGCTGCCCCCCTTCTCTCTCTTCCACCCCCTCGTTCTCACTCTCACGGAGCTGGCGCTTTTCCACTCTAAACGACCTCCAGAAAAGAAAACTTCGCCACAATCATTTCAGCAGCTGCCACAGTGAATCCTTTGAGCAGGGATCCCCGGAAAGTTATTAGATCCTTACTGTCAATCGTAATCACCGTACCTAATTGTTGGGCTGAATTGTTCTTCTTAAAAAACTTACAAGACCATTTCATTGGATTCTTAAATTTTTAAATCGGAGTGTGTTCTTCTAAACAATAAATTTTTACCGAATTATTTTTAGCAATTTAAAAGGATGTAATGAATTCATTCTTTAAAGAATCTTATTTTTACAAGAAATTGTCATTGGATCCTTAAAATCTTAACTCGGAGTAGGTTCTTCTAGACATTACATTTTTTACCGAATTCTTTTTAGCAATGCAAGAAGAAACTAATGAGTTTATTCTATCAGGATCTTATTTTCAAAAAATCAAAGTTTCCAAAAAATTGCACTTTAGGTTGTATTAGCATTATTCCCAAGTAGAAGTTACTTCCTATTATAATCAGAAAAATTAGTGAACAAACATACCAAAAGTCTATAATTCATTCCATAAAAGAAGTTCAGGGATTTGGTTTTGGAGGGTTATAGAGTTACTTTTATAGCTTGGCTTGTTACATTCGTTCTTTTTCCCAAAAGAGAAATATCAAAGCTATAAAAATATGACTCGAATTCGTTCCTCCACACAAGCTCAAGTGAAATGTTCTCTTAATTGACCAATTTTCCCAGCTAAACTAACGGGAAAAGCGGAATGGAATAATGGGTGGTTCATCAAGACCGACTTGACTGTTCTCCTGGACAGCTGCTCTAATTGGTTTACCTATTGGCAGTGTTTACTGTTCTTGCAGACATTTGTTATTTGCTGTTTTCTGAAATTTTATTGCTCTTGGCGGCTTTTGGGTGTGGAAATGGAAATGAAAAGGGGGATGGGGTGGACTCTACTTTGATGGCTTTACTGTAACCTGTCGGCGCCATCGCCTGTATTTCGTTTCGTCTGCCTCTGCCACATAGTATATGTATCTATATAGCTGATGTTTAACTTTCCTGCATATTTAATGCGTAGGTCAGTTTACCCAGAAAGCAAACACAATGAAAAGTTGGTCTCCCAAATTGCTTTTGGCGCCTTGTTGCTGCTATTGTTGTTGTTCTTGTTGGCCACTCCAGGTGTTTACCAACTCTCTTGCCACCTTTTTCCCCCGTTTTTGCCCTTGGTCTGCGGCTCTGTTTTTATGTAACTTTCAAATCGATTGCAAACACGTAACAGTAGGGCAACTTGCACCGCCCACCGCCCGTGCCACGCCCCCCACACCACCCAGCAGATATTCCTACCATATCCTGCAACAACATTCTGACGTCGAGCGTGTGATTTTCTGTTCGTTTCAGCTGTATTTGCTGTATTTGTTGGCCTACGGCCTGGCATAGCGTGACATTTCCTTTATGTGATTTGCTGCCGCTGTCGCCTGGCCCCATAACCTCTGCCCCTGCCACGCCCCCCTCAGGTATTTCGCCCTTCAGCCCCCCTGCCCAACTAAAAGAACATTTGAATAATTTCTGTTTTGCAAATTTGTCTCAACCGGAGGCGATATCCTTGAAAGGCTCGGACAAATTGCAGTCAATACAATAGTTGAACAAGTATTTTTAGGGGTAAGGGAAAGGAACTCGTGTTGTTAGCTTCCTTAAAAGGACTGCAAAGTTTTCCAAAACATCAACAAGATTTTCCGATCTATAACCAGGGTTCACAATTACAAATCCTTTATTAACTAAAGGCGGCTTTCTCGTCCGTTTGTTAAATTTAAAGTAGGGTTAAAACCTTGAAATCGTCTGGGAAATCAGAGTTAAAAGTTTCCCTTAAATTTAAGAGCCTGGTTTTATAATTACATTTTAAGCTGGATCTTTTTTACCTCCATCTGAAAATGAAAATCAGCTTGATGCCTAAGAAAATCTGAATTATTTAGGCTCTGGGAAAAGTAGGGAAACCCCAAAATAGGATTGACTCTCAACAGAGAACGCTTTTGAGTAGATTGAGTTCAGAATGTTGTCTCGAGCCCGGTTTGTTGTTGCCCGTTGACCTGCCAACGGTTGCCGTGGGCTACCTGCCAAATTGTCGATATTCCGTGTGCTCCTTTGGCGCTGGTCGGAAAAACAAGTGGGGAAAAGCTGAAGCCAAGGCACGTCATTCTCTGTCGCCGTCTCACTCTCGCCAGTTGCTAATTTCAATGGCTCCTCCTTGTGCCTCCTCCCTTGCACCACCTCAAGCTCCTCTTCACGTGCAATCGTAATTATGAATAATTCGCCATAAATGGCACACGCTGGTCTGCAATTATTGGAATTGAAGTGCCCCAGATGCCGCTGATAAATCGCTTGCCACCAATACTCTATAGTAATTCCAGCCAGGTCCTAGGGTATACTATACATATATATCTGAATATGGCGCTAGTTCCATTATATCATTTCGTGTGGCCGAGGTGAAAAGTGCAAGCGCAACTTTATCAGCGCCCATAAATCGCCTAGCAAAAGGTCAAAGTTGAGCTCGACTAGCAGCTTTTTTCCGGGTGGGAGGATGGCCGCGGAATTTCCGAATGCCAATGGATGTAGGAACTTTAAATGCAGTGTCATTTGCGTGTAAAAGCATTATATGTTTGAAATTATGAACTGAATAAATAAATATCAAATCTGCAAGTATATAAATTAGATGGTGTTTTGATAAAGCGATTTTAAACATTTTTTTAAAAAGCTACAACCATTAATTTAGCCATTAAAAATGTTTGTTAATTATTAATGTCTGTCTAACTAATTTGCCTTTTGGGGTTAAAATTATTTGAATTTTTTTGATTTAGCTGTACTTGCTCACCCAAAATCAATCTTTGGTCCCAATGAATTGAATTTGACGCCAGAGGTATTAAATAAACATTGAAAAAGTAAAGTGATGATAAAGCAGTATTTGACTTAGTTATCTTAACATAAGAAGATAAAGTGAGAGGGCTGGAGATGTTTCTTAAGCAGTCAGAGAGTCAAGAACCTTGGTTGAATCTCAGATAACCAGATAAGATAGCAGGAAAGCATAAGCAATGCATCGTACTAATATCAAGTCATGAATTTAGCTTCTTCTCTTCATTTTTACATGGTGATTTTATGACTAAAGTTTCATTTCGAATGGCTAAATTATGCAGATAACATTGCAGCTAAATGAGCAATAAAATACTTAAGTCGTTTGGCTTCTGAATAATAAAACTCTAAAATTTCTCCATCTCCGCCCCAAAATCCCCTGCTTTATATATTATTCTGTTCTGTATGTTTTCTCTGGTGCCTCATTCATCATACGCACCGAGGTCCCAGCTTGAAAATGAATTCAAATTGCTCAGCTTGACTGGGTTCTAAAACCTAAGACGCAAAAAAATAGTAGCCATAACGAGTTTTGTTTTGTTTGTCGCTCGGATTTATACAGTTACACGTTGTCCAGTGAATAGAGTATATATTTATCTGTATCAGGGGCTGCGTCATAACTTTGGAGTGGGTGAAGCGTTTGCATTTGCTTTGTTACTGTCCGGTGATTATTAGTTGATAAATTTCAACCGCATGACGCACTTAATCAGTTCCCAAAAAATGAACTACATATATTAGAAAGAAAACGAGAAAGAAGCATAGTTTGGCCTCCCGGGGCATGTGTGAAATTTTCATGCCTCCGTTCCACTTTGGCTTTAAGCCAGGGCACGTGGAGAGCAGGCCTCAACCCTTGGCCCAAACTGGGTTAATGTAATGCATATGTGCTAGATTGAAGGCAGAGGGGATGGAGCAGGGGATCTTTCGGGGGTTGCTGCTGCAGTCTCTCTGTGCCACAATCCCACTTCTTCCACGCCTTTCCTCTTGCGGCTTTGGCCTGCATATTTTGTTTCAAGTACGAACATTGACGCCCCAGCTCAGCGTTCCCCCATGCAGTAGCACTTTGGTAATGATGACAAATGGGGGTTGAGGTCTTAAATTTTGGAAGATCTTTAAGGTTCAATTATGATTACATGAAATCTAGAAATATTTCTTAACTCTTTGTTAACTATGTAAGAAACATTTCAACAAAATCATCTCAACAATATTGAAAGAATATCCAAGACACTCTTTTTAATAACAGATAAAATATTTATCTCAACATTTTCTAAAAGTTGCGATATTTGTTGCTTCTTGTTTCAAGCGAGTTTTTACTGTACGCATATGTTCTAATTTACAATCTTATCAGCACACAGTCAATTAAATTTATAGGGGGATTCCCTAAACTGTTGAATTGCTGAATTGTTGAATTTTGGTCAGCTGTTAATCAGCTGTTCCATACAAAGTCAACTTTCAGAAATTTCAGCAATTCATCAGCCTCGGGGCTGCTGAAAATTTTGTTGAATTGCTGAAAAGCCAGAGTTGTCACCTTTTTTTGAAAGTCGTGGCAACTCTGTAACATTTTAGTATCACCAGTACGCATTATTTATTTTAAAATCAACTTAGAAAGCATATTTGTGGTTCTTTTTACCTTGCTAACACTTTTAGACAGTAACTAGCAATAATAAATCATGCTTACATGCTTTAAGTTTCGTGAAACTTTTCAACAAATAACAGCTGTTTGAAAATTCAACAGGAACCATTTTGGGTCGTTCCCTTAATTGCTGAAATTTTTTGTTGAATTTTCAACAATTCAGCAATTCAACAGTTTAGGGAATCCCCCTTATATAAACATTTAATATAACGCATTTCTGTTTTTGCATTGCTTTTGCAAACTAATATATATTTTGTTAATATTTAAAGAATCGAAATATTTCATTTGTACTTTAAATGTACCTGAATTTATTCCATCAATGGTTTTTTAAGGATATTGTATATTTTATTAAATAACAATTAAAGGTTTTGGTATCCCTTTTTATGCATAAAAATTCATTTTTGCTGTCATTATTTGGTTCTGGCTTTGTCTTTATTCTCGTGGGTAGCTGGGTATTCAAATCTCTTTTTAAATTAAAGTTATGGCTTTATCGTATGACTTAAAGCTTTACTAACTACATTTTGGTGCCAGCTTTGTCTTAGCGACGCCCCACTGTAGTGGCTTGCTGCTTTTTAACCATGTCAATCATTTGATGCTGTGGACCTCCCGCAAATCTGGTTTTCGTGTGACTCAGTCCCATTGTCATTACTTATGCTTTTATTATTATAATTTTGTGTACACTTCTTCTTCTTTATTTTTATATGATTTATGTTTTGTGACGTTGTGACGCCGCTGCTGCGCTGCTGCTGCCCAAACAATAATATATAAATATATATATATATATGAATATCAACGAAATGCCCTTTGTATTTGTCTGTCTGTCTGCCGGCTATAACATTACACACCTCGACGCTGATGAATCAAAAGCATTGTTAATATACAAAAATCAACAAAAAACACGCACCCACACACCGACACACTTGCATGCACAGTGGAACTTTCAGTTTTTACAATCAGAAAAATCCAAAAGGCAGGCTAAGTACTCAAATTCGAAATTCAAGTAAGGCCGAAAGATTCAGAATATTAGCCGATAAATAAATAATACAAAGACAGAAAAAAAGAAAAAGCATGCCACAGTCAGAGGGCGGCTATGTATCGCTGCCGGCCGTCAATGGCAATGGCGGCGCCATCTATCAGTCGACCACAGAGCCCACGGCCCCGCCCTCCGTCTTCGAGAGCGTGAAGCGGGCGATTGGCCAGGCCATCAAGTCCTCGCCCACCGACAGCGAGGAGCTGCTCCGCTCCGAGCGCCTGCCGGTCATCGTCGGCGGCTCCAGGTAAGTCCATCCAGCCGGGGTCAGCCACCCATCACCCAGCCGCCCAGCTCCCAATTTTGGGCGACGCGACGGTGAGCTCTCCTCAGCCAATCACTCTTAATCACCACTCAGTCCCGGATCCATGGCCCCATTTTGGCACGTCCACAAAACACCCACTGTCGCACTCAACCACCGAACCACCCACCACCCAACTGACCGACCCGTTTTATCCTACACAGAGAACAAAGAGCAGGGACTTTTACTCATATAATAGTCTTCATATCGTTTTAGTGGTAAGATTTACAGAGTAAAGTAAACTAAAAAAATTTTAAATTTACAATTAATTAATTAATTACTTAAAAATTGGGTATTAAATGTATCCTCTGCTGAAATCTACAACCAGAATATTAAAATTATCTTATTAGAATTTGTTCTCGAATTTTTTATTGCCAATGAAAGCGATTCCTTTCTAGTTACCTTTCTTAAGATTTTGTTAATTTGAACAAGTTGATATAAACAAAATATCATCCTATCTATACTAGTATTGTATAGTAAAGTATATATGTATAGAGCTTTAATAGATCTTCCATTTCGATGTAGTTAAATTAATTACCAGAAACCAAAAAAATAATTTAAGGTATTTATTTGGAAAGCTGAAATTCTCTGTGTAGTTCACTTAAACACCGAACATCAAAGCTCCCCTTTGCCTTAGCCACCTAGCTTCCTGTAACCCCTGAAGCTTAATTGCGATTGCATGTCTACCCAAAATGTTTTTTTTTGTTTTTTGCTTTTGATTGTTTGTGGTTGTTGCCATTGTTGTGAGCTTCTGTTTTAGTTACATTTTTCTTGACTTTCTTTAAGGCACTTTGCATTTGATTTGATTTGGTCACCCGAAGGAAAAACTAATTGTATATATGTGATGTATATTTAAAGCCTTTCGCATTGCTCACATTTCGTATTACATCATCATCAGCATCAAACGAAAGATATAGTCAGCTTACTGCTTACAAGAAGCTCTTTAATTAGAACTTGTTTAGATAGGGAATATAAAATCGTGAGAATTAATTTTAAAAGTAGAGCATTTCGATATAGTTTAGACCCCAAGTGAAGATTGTCGAAAATTTTACTTCGTTTCTGGTTAGCCATGGCTCAAGGTCAAACTGCAGTTTGCAGTTTTAGCAGTTTTGTCAATACAACAATCCCGAGAGCACAGCAAACAGAGCTCAGAAAATAAACTGAACTCTCGGCTCTCGAGTCGTTTAGTTGGTTGCCGGTCGCGACCCACATTTGTTCTATTTGCGGTCACTTCTGAAATTATTCATACTCGTCGCAGAATTCACGATTATTTACGATTGCTGGCGATCTCAAGTGGCTTTAATTAATATTTCCGCAGCCACTGGCATCGTTTGTAAGTGGATCTGCAGTCCGGTGATTTGGTCCAATTAATATTCATCGCACAAGTAAAATATGTATAATCCCTGACTCCAGATCTCGCACTCTCTGTTTACGTTCTTTGAAACCAGTGCATTGCACTTAGCCCGGTGGCCTGGAGTTAACCGATACCGAGCGGTTCTAACCGGTTGGCCGCCATACCGGTTTAAGCTGGGCGCTCTGTTGTTGCTTGAGATTCAAAGTAAATTGAAAAGAAAGCAACGATAGCTTATGCAAACAGCTGATTATCAGAAATAATCCCCCTGAGCTCCTCCATTTCAATTATTTGCTCCCTCAAGGGTCTAGTGCGTGCTATTCCAGAAATTGATTGTCTAGATTAATAATGGATTTGTAAGGGACTGAGGGGTTAAGACCTGTAATTAGTGGGTTAAAATAGTAGGAACTGGAATTATTGGGCAGTCCATAGTTTCTTTAGAATCAAGGTGAAAAATGTTAGGGTTCAAAATGTTCATAAATATTTCTAAACCGTTTCTCAGAGCCTGAGATCGATAGCTTATTCATTTTCTAGAGTGAAAAAACTTTATATTATCTACTTATTCATTATGTAAAAGATTTAAAAAAAACAATCAGTCTTGGGAAGGTAATTGTTTCAAGAGGTAATCAGTCCCGACCATTATCTTCCTCTTATAAATTCATGAAATGTGTAATAGTTTTCCCTCAGCCCATCCATTTTCCTCTGCCATAAGCTCTGCTTATGCAATTACTCCCTGTGGGATGCTTACGGGCTCAATCACGTAACCAATTAAAGGTGATAATGAAAACAGCCATGACCCTAGGTATATATATATGCTCGAGGATAATGAACTCTCATCCCTCACCTGAGGTTCTTCTCCTACACCTCCGGCATTAACTAATTGAGTTCGGTCCCTGCAGTAAAAGTTTTTTGTTATCCCAAGATGAGCGAGTAGGTAAACAAAAGTTTTCCGCCCCGTTTCCACGCTTTTCCTGTTCTCGACGGTGATGGTTGCTTTAGAGGAGGCGAAAGGGAAAAGAAAGTCAAATTAGTATGCCAGCTGGTCGCATTTTCCTGGCGCCACTTGTTTGTCGCTTGCCATTTTCATACATCGCTTACATCCATCGACATTTACCCCGAATGACATTGCGTGACTCATTCGCTTACGTTTTACGTAAGGACCCCAAGACCTTGGCGAGAATTCCCCCGCTTCATTCATCAGGCCTAACAAAATTTGCTCCCTTTGCTCTTTCTCCTTTTCTCTGTGTCTCTGTATCGCTGTCGTCTGTCTCTCTTTAAATTATCACCACCACCCACCCGACCTGTGAATATACTCTTAAGATCTCCAATACCAAATCCGAATATCAAAAAGAAAATATAAAACATATACGGTGAAAGTTTTTAGCCGATTTGGAACAGAGTCTGCCAGAAACTTGCCTCGATTTTTGTGTTCCTTTGGTTATTCTTTGCTTGCATGCTCATAGAATCTCTTTCAGAGACCGCGACAAATCCGGTAAGACACTGACCACCAAGATGCCGTCAGCTCCAACACACACTGCCGAGGAGGCACACCTGCTGGGGTAAGTAAAGCGGAAAAGGAGGGAATCGAATCTAAAGAAAACTCCCAGGGAATTGTGTAATTAGGCCCCCCGAACCCCGACCTTCCCGAATATGTAAGATATATGCAACACACGATAACACAAAACGCAACTCAGTTGAAAAAATCAAAAAACACTCTCACAACACACACAAGTTTAGAGTTTTTCGTTTTAATTTACCTTGCGTTACCTTTGTTCATTAACTTTTCACTTAGCATTTGATTTACGAGTACTAGTATTGTTAAGAGACAACCATTAGTTTGTAAGTACTTGCCTAGACTTGAGTTTGACAACTAAACCCCGTAACAGCATCCCCGATTGTTATATCTCTCCGAATGTTGATTAACCGATATACATATTTCGTCTTGATTTGTTTGAGTTTTGCATACATTTAAACCATAACTAGAGTAGAGGAGAGCAGCGAGATCAACTCATGCCTGAAATACGTAGCCCCTTTAGCCTCTAGATGAGATCCGAAACCAGGATGCATATCCTCCCGACACAAAGCCACAAAAACTTACAGGATGCCAGTTCTGCTGCCGCTGCCCAAAAATCCCACCAGAACCCAAAGTTTTACTAGTTATTAACTAAAGTATTGTTAATCCCAACAGCACAATGCCCGTTGATCCCATGGACGACATCGAACTGCGCTCCGTGCAGCTGCAATTCCCCAATGCCCGCGGCTCCATCCTGGAGGCCTGCGAACAGCGACGCGTGCCCACAGACAAGGGCGATGTCCACGTGGCCATACAGGGGGATACGGCCAAGCCGGCCATCGTCACCTACCACGATTTGGGCCTCAACTGTAAGTGGCTTAATTCCTTTTTTTTTTTATTTATTTATTTATTTTATTTTTTTTATTTATTTCTTAATATTTTCCAAGCGCGACAAGTGATTACAAGTGATGGCATACAAAATATAACTTTTAGCTTATAACTACCATATTATTATTTAAAATTATTGTTTTTTTGTTTTTGAATTTTTTATTTTTTTTTTTTTTTAATATATATTTACATATTTATAAATTTATCCCTTTTTTTGCAGACGCCACCAGCTTTGCTGGCTTCTTCAACTTTCCAGTGATGCGGGGTCTGCTGGAGAACTTCTGTGTTTACCATGTGACGGCTCCTGGTCAGGAGGAGGGTGCCCCCACTTTGCCAGAGGAGTAAGAATTACTCTATTATTTATTTTCTATATCTCACAATTTCGATCCTCAGTTACGTGTATCCGACCATGGATGATCTGGCCGCACAGCTGCTGTTCGTGCTCTCCCACTTTGGCCTGAAGTCGGTGATTGGCTTCGGCGTTGGCGCCGGTGCGAATATTCTGGCCCGTTTCGCCCACGCCCATCCGGACAAGGTGGGCGCCCTGTGCCTGATCAACTGCGTCTCCACGCAGCCGGGCTGGATCGAGTGGGGCTACCAGAGCTTCAATGCCCGCTTCTTGCGCACCAAGGGCATGACACAGGGCGTAATCGATTACCTGATGTGGCACCACTTCGGACGCAATCCGGAGGAGCGCAATCACGACCTGGTGCAGATGTACAAGCAGCACTTTGAGCGGGCCGTCAATCCGACCAATCTGGCCATGCTGATCAACGCGTATATCCATCGCAACGACCTGCATCTGGCGCGCACTCCGCCAGGAACTCCGGGCACCGAGACGGCGGCCACCACGCTGAAGATGCCGGTGATTAATATCACGGGTTCGCTGTCGCCGCACGTGGACGATACGGTGACCTTCAATGGCCGCCTGGACCCCACAAACTCATCCTGGATGAAGGTTCTTTTAGATTTAAAGTTATTACTTATTATGGATTTTAATGTTTTTTGGTTTTCTGGTTTACAGATTTCCGATTGCGCTTTGGTGCTGGAGGAGCAGCCGGCCAAGTTGGCCGAGGCCTTCCGGCTCTTCTTGCAGGGCGAGGGCTACGGTAAGTGTTAGAACACCGCACACACCACCACCAACAACCACCACAACAACAAGAACAACCAAAACAACAGCAACATCAAATGCTACAACAACTGAACAACCTCAGCAATCTCTGCTACAATCTCAACAATCTACTGTACTCCCCACTCTATCTAATCCCTCTATTAACCCGCAACTACCACAACTATCTAACCACCTGATTGTCTTAGCCAAGTACTTCAGACCAGAAGACTGGGACTGTCCGCAGTCGAGCAGCTCCATTTAGAAGTCCCCTCTGTTCGGAGCAAGATATTCCCTCTATAGATTCAGTTCAGTTCAGTTTATCCTCCAAGAGATGCTCCTAGTCTAGCCCCTAATTTTCTCTCTAGAGACATACGCACACACAAAAGAAACAAACGATCCTGACCCAACCTAATCTTAGCCTAAAACGAGAATCTTTGAGAATCAAAAGCTTTTTGAGATGCAATGAAACGAAACCAAAAAAAAACCTATTGTGCAAAATTTTATATTTATAAATTGGTAAACTATACAAAAAACAAACAAAAATTGGCATTGATCGTTCAAACCTATGTTGATAATTATCCAAAGTATTTGTACGCAAACAAAGTATTTCAAAATAAAAATCGAAAAGTTGTTGAAAATCAAGCGTTTACTTTCTATACACACATATTTAACCACTTCCAACCCGAATTATTCCCCTATAGTCAGGACCCGAAAAAATACAGACAATTTCGCATCCACGACAGCAACCAAACAAGAAAAGATATTTCAAGATGTTCATTACTTTGTTTTTCATTTCTTTTTCCTTTCTCCAAAACTGCTTGTTTTTGCTAAACCAACATACAAAACAAAAAATAAAAAAAAATGCCAACAAAATTATACGAAAAACTACCGAACAACACGCAACACGAATACAAATGAAAAAAAATATACAAAAAAAATCTTCCACACGAAATTGCAACTTCAATCGATTGAAAATGTCAAATCCCGCACCCCCATAATTCCATAATCTTGCACACGCGACCTTCATTCGATTTCATGGCCAATGCAATCCAATCCATCGACTTGGTCTCTGCTGCATTCACCTACGACTTCCTCCGTTCTGTTCAATTCTATTCTAATTCTGATTTCTTTTCGTTTCGAAATTGGTTTTCAAATCCCCTCAAAAAATAAACCGAAATCAACAAATAACAAATTAACTAATGCAACTGCGCGTTCTCTATAATTTCAACAACAAACTAAATATAATAATCGTGTATATGGTATGTATATTTGTACGCAAACATAAACGCACCTGTGATCGTAGTGTCCGAGAAACCTCAGTAGGAAGACCTGCCACCCGAAGCACCTAAGCAGTAAAATACCCAAAAAAAATTGCAACAAAAAACAAAACCGAAATCTAGTTGGAATGCATTTAGCTAATTAATTAATACAATAATTCAAATTAAACATTCGCATATACAAATATATAGGCAAAGTAGAGCTTAAAACTACACCCACACACATACACAGCTAGTGGAGGGACTTTTGATATTTTAAGGTGTTGGTTGGTTAATACAAACAATGAAATAATACACTTAATATTATTATTTTTAAAAACGTTTTTCTTTTTAATTTTTTTTAGAATTTTGCCCACTTACGATAAAGATCGATTTTTATAGAAATATTTTAATAAGACTTAATTATTTATTATTTCCCTCAACACCTTAAGATTCAAAGAGCTGAATAGAGCAAATGACTAACACTCGCCTGCATACACGTAGATTTGCTTCTTGAGTACAGTGCAACCTCGGTGCTGGGCAATTGATGCGCTTTCGCTTTTCCAACTATGCTCTTTGATTTTCTCCTCCACAAAAACACAAACTCTCGCACACGCCATTTGTTTAGAATAACTCTTTAATTTATTTGACCTTTCATTTGTTTTATTTATTTACACGCAAATTGAAAACAAAATATACAACATTAACAACAACGAAAACGAAAACTATTACCACAACAGCTGTTGGCACACTGCAAAAGTTGGCGCGCAAAATCTCAACGGTCAGTCGGAGCAGCTCCACGCAAATTGAGCTCAGTGTGCAGTGAACGGCGGAGTCAGGGCGATAAAAGAGCGAATGGAGAGAGCAACAGCAGTGGCAGCAGCAGAAGCAGCAGCAGCGGCGGCGCGGCACTGCCCCCTAAATTCAGTGGGGCAGAGTGAGAGGAGCAATTGGATACCCGATACCCGAATACAATAATGACTCGAAAAATGGTTTATAGCCTTGCTTTTAAGGGCAAAACAATCTTCGGTTTCTCCTCTTCTGTGATTTCCTTTGAAATTTTTTTGTTGCTCCTTTGTTTATGTTTAATCATTTTTTGTAATTAATACGATTTTTAGTTAGTAAGCTAATGAGTGGAAAGCAGCAAAAGATTTAGTTTCCATTTCGTTTGTTGTCTACATAAATAAATGCATTGCTTATATGTACTTTACATGATTACCTTTCGTTGTGTCACCCTCTTCTCCACATGCCTTTAAACTCGGGCTGCTTTCACCACCCACAACACAGCTTAAATGTACGGAAGCAATAAGTTTATACACTCTATACAAATATACATACATGACAACGCTATTATATACAAATTACATACACTAACCATACGCAAGTCGAGAAAAACGATAAAAACGAAACGAAAATTGAAAGTGTAAGCTTTTGTTGTATATTTGAGAATTCCAAATAAACGAACAACGTAAAATTCGAACTGTAACGGTATGGCCAGAGTGAAGAACCACCTCCGAAATACTGTATCTAGTAAACAGGGTCTTTGGCCAGAGGGAGTCGCGTCGTCTCTTTCCCACAGCAGCAACATCGCCGTCACAGCAGCAACATCCAGTCCCAGCAACAGGTGGCGCCACATCAACATCCGCATGCCATGCAGCCATCGAATCGATCACCGATTTCATCGATCATCGCGCAATCTCAGCCCAGCTTCCTCCTCTCCCCTCCATCTCGTCCATCAACTAGAACAACAAGAAACTACAATAATAATTATGATAATAATAGAGACAACAGCAGCAGCAGATTGTCGCCGCTTTCATCTCGAATCATGCAAAATGCACCATACACTCACAGGAAAACTTGCAGTTGCGGTTTGAATAATGGTGGGGAAAAGTTAAGGTTAAATAGTACTACTGAATTAGGCCAAAAACTAAGGATCTCAGGAGGTATAGACGTCCCTAGTGCTTAAAAAAATAAGGGACTAACAATTAAACCTAAATATGAATTTCCTATAGTGGAAATAGGAAACTCTTAATTTTTTGTATTCATTATCGAATAACTTGAATAGAAAAATATAAAAAGGCTTTAGTTTTAAAAGAATTTAAGCAATATGTGATCAAAAATCTTTTATTTTTGAAAATATTTGTTCATAAGTTGTAGGGAAAACTAATTAACAAAGCTTTATACCTTTTATTGCAAAGATCTCAGGGAACATGTTCTTTTTAAATTCCTATTCTGGAAGTATTTATAAATTAATTAGAAATAAAGTTACCTTTGAATATTATTAGATTGATTTTTTTTTAAATTAAAAAAATCCTTACCTTTGTTTAAACCGCAACGATGCAGTAAAACAGACACTACACAAAAACACACATTTCAAAAACAGCAGCCAAGCCTTTTAGAAAGTGTATAAAGAAAAACACCCATCAAGAACAAGAACCAACAACTTACATGTTCTCAAGTAACATATAACGTAAATAACAAAAGCCAAACTACTACTACCTTCCCCCCAAAAACAACAACCACTTAAAAAACTGCCACAGCAACGCCGCTGTCCACGCCAGCGAGTTCGCCCTGTGGTACCAAGTACCAGACCTACTCCTCAATCTTCTTTGCCAACTTCCGGGAGCAGCAGCAGCAGGCGATGGAGGAGCGCGACCGTGAGCGGGAAAGGGAGCGGGATCGCCAGCGGCAGCTGAGCCTCCGGGTGGGCAATCGGCTCCGGGAGACGGCCATCAATTGCACCACCCCGACCGCTGGCCAGGGGGACAATAACAACGCGGACAATCGCAGCGGCGACGAGGAGGACATGGATCTGGAGAACGGAAATGGCACCGCAACCGGAAATGGCAACCGTGCCTACGTGACCACGGACACATCGGGCACCCTCTACTACGGCAGCCAGAGCAACAAGATACGCATCACCGAGAACCCACTGCCCGAGCCGGTCAGCTCTTAGATTGCTACTGCTGAGCCACGCCACATAATCTCCAAAAGACACCTTGTTATTGTTGTTACCACACACTGAGAAATATAAAGCAGCAGCAGCCGCCAAGTCAAGCCAAGCTTTCAGCCGTGCTCCAAGAGACACAAAGCCACAGAAACTCAAACAGAATAATAATAATGATAATGATAATATTAATACAAGCAACTCACACACCGCTAGGTAATGAATGCAATAATTAACCACCAAAAAAATGAGAATCCGTTGATTGATTGTGTTTCCCTATGGTTTTCGAGACGCGGAGAGATATTTGTAATTTACACTTTGTGCCTGAGCGTAACGTAACGAACATACACATAATATATGATATATCAAGCCCGATCGGATCAGATCAGCAGCAGCATTTTAGTTATCTCTACCCTTCCTTTTTTTTTGGAGTGCCACACATATTTTATGACGAGCTTGCTTAGTTGTTGTAAAACGTACAATATACAAAAGATATACATATGTGTATACAGACAACACGAAAACGAAACTCAAAGATTACGAGCATTTCCGCTTAATGTTAAAACCTAAAAACAAATCCAACTGTTAACTTAATCCCAAGAATAACGAATAACGAAAACTATAAAAATGTAGCATATCAAATAACAAAGAAAATCTCTCAAAATTACGTATATACTTATACAAAAACCTAGATAAATCGTAGACAATTGCAAATTGCGAGTAATTCCAACCAAAATTCTGTTCACAATGAATGAGAAAAACCCTAGACACAGGACACACGGTCACTAAAAACACCATACACGATATGAATATAGAATACATACATATAATATATATAAATAATGACAACTTTTTGCAATAACTTCGAATTCAATTCAATAAAAGTTTTAGAAGCTTGACTGCCGTTTTTATTACTTCGGCGAGAGCATTTCGCTGATTCTGCGTAGAGTTTCCTCTCGGTCTCGACGCATCAAATCGGATACTTGTAGCAGGAACTGCTGCTGCTGTTCGCGTTGCTGCCGCAAGAAGGTCTCGTTGGCGGTTTTGATTTGACCCAACAGTTGCTTTTGGCCTTCTACGATAGTTGCGAGAGCCTCAATCGGTGTTGGTTCTGCCTCCATCTCCACTGCGTCCTCGTAGTCTTCGCTATCGGCAGCGGCTCTCAGAAGATCACAGGTGGAGCTGGAGCCTTCGCTGTCACTCTCAAGCGGAACACTTGCCTTGCTTGGTGGCTTGGAAAAGGTAGGTTTGCTATGGCGGATGGATCTTGGTATGATGTTCCTTTTGTTTTCTCGCGGTGCCTGAATTAGTTCCTCGAAGAGCTCGAAATGGCGGGGCAGAATGCGCACATTATCCAGGCCGTGCTCCTTGGCCTCGCGATACCGCTTGCAGAGCAAACGCAGCTTATTGCGCAGCTGGTGCGGAGTACGTTTGATGGCCTGCTTGGCCAGGATATTGGAAATGTGCACCAGGGTCTGGAAGTTGCGTTTCCTGGAGCCATCCAAGGCGCGAAAGAAGCCATTGTCCCGGATGATCAATAGAAATGAGTCCACCTCATCATCTGTCCAAAAGTGAGCTAAACGAAAGGGTATCATTTAAGATTGTATAAAATACAAATGGTAAATGGCTACCTCCGCCTTTTTGTAAGGCATCTCCCTCCTCCTCGTCACTTTCCTCCTCGCTGTCACTGGCGCTGCTGAGATTGGCTTCCGCCTCGGCCTCTGCGGCCGCCGCCTCCTCTTCGGTGGGATCCAGAACCAGTCGCATGGCCTCATAGTGCTCGAACGTTTCCCCTGTGCCATTCTTCACCTTGTTGTACAATCTCCGCAGCAGCTGGAATTTGATGCGCAGCTTGTCGGCACCCTTGTGGCAATTGCGCTTGGCCATCTCCTTGGCCAGCAGCTTGAAGACCTTGGCATTGCGCTTCCGCAGCAAAGCTGCCCGCAGTCCTAGCGAGTGAATCAGGTCTAGAAGCATTTCCACCTCGGCCTCGGTCCACTTGCAACGGGCCACTATGTTAATCGACGAACAGGAGGCATCGAAGATTTCTGTAAAAGATAGATAGATACTATTAGAGCCCTGCGTAAATCATTCAATTTTTGTTTTATCATAAGTAGTATGCCATGAAAATTCTGATTTAATTATAATTACAAGTCAATTCTATGTGAAATAAATTGAATGTTTTTCTAATTCATTTCGAATTGAATGAACGAATGAATCATTTTTATGAGTTTTTTAAATTTGCCAGATCTTTTTGCACTTTCTTTTGAGAACAAAAAGTGAAAAATTTTTAACAAATCAAAGTTAACTACATAGTAAATAAAATTCTGGCAGATTTAATCACAAAATTATGGCCTTTTCTTCTTCAAAAGTAATTGTCGTTTGAATTACTTCGGAATTCAATCCATTCATTCATCCAATTCCAGTAACTCAAAATTATATTAGACTCAAAATTCTAATTAATGCATTCATATGAATCAAAAAATTCAAAATAATTCATTGAATCCATTCATGCAGGGCTCTAATTACTATCGACCCTTTTAAAGATTGATTATGGGATTTAAAGAACTTTAATAGTGGATATGGTTTTCATAGAGTCTATTGAGCATCCCTAAGGGCTAGTACTCAACCAACAAAAAGTCGTCCAAAACAAAAACTTCATATGAAACAACATTTTTTGACGTTGTTTTTCATATGAACTTTTTTGTTTTGGACGACTTTCTGTTAGGTTGAGTACTAAGTCTAAGATAGGAAAAGTAGATTTCATTTCCTTATGCTTTCACCTACCGTCTCCTTCCGTTTCCGAGATCATGCCCGACTGGTCTTCGTCGGCCTCGCCATCGCTGTCGCTCTCCAGTTCATGCTCCTCCAGATCGGAGCCTCCGTTTCCCTGCATCAACTCGTGGACCGCCTGGAAGTGCTCGAAGGACTCTCCGCCGTTCCTGGCTCGCACATACTGCCGCCTCATCTGATGGTACTTGATCCTTAGCTGCTTGGGGCTTTTGGCACAGCTCCGTTTGGCCATTTCCCGTGCTATCACCTTGAACACCTTTTCATTGCGGGCCCTTCGCAGTGGAGATTGCAGTTTCAGCTGGTGGATGATTCCCAGAAAGAGCTCAACCTCGTCGTCTGTCCAACTGGCGCGACTGGTTCGCCCAGAACTGTTTTCCGCCACCGAGTGATTTGTGCTCCCCAGATCACTTATAAGGTGCGCATATTTCTGTTCTGCTTCGTTTTCATCTTCCTCGTTGCCATTAAATGAAGAGAATTTGCTCATTTTTAAATCAAAACAATAAACAATTTTATCAAGACTTTCAGTGTGACCGTGTCATCCTAAAATCCTAACCGGCACATAAAGATATACTAAAATATCTATTTGTATGTGCATTTCAAATTTCCCTGCTTCGAATTCAAATAATTGGATCTTTAATCTAACGATTCAAAAAAGTATAACTTTTTAATATAAAGTAAATGTATAGCAGTTTGTGGTTTATACTGGACTTTATCGTTTCTATTTTTACCTTATTCGGGTAAGAGAATCCGTTTGCCTCTAATACACCCGGAAAGTGGTACATTTTTAAGCAATTTTCAAACTTTTAGGTCCTGTTTCCCAGAATCCTTGCGTCAGGAAACTATTTGTAGAATGCAGTTTTAATTGGGAATTCGTAACGAATTCTAATTTATCGCATCCACCAAGGTAAATTTTAGATGTAATATATTGCAATCTTTTATAGCCTTTCATAGAATAAAACACCAGGTTTTTAAAATTATTTTAGTTTTAATTGGTTTAAAACTTTGCTTACATTTTCCTTTCGTAAAAAATTGAAATATTTATATATTTCATCTGTGATTCTCTCCGTATTAGTGTTGAATTATAACAAGAGAGTGCCAGTTATCCCCGGTAGCTCGCTGAGGTTCATGAACCTTGATTACATCCAGGATCCAATCCATATAGTAGGTAACATTTGTAGAAACTTCAAATCCACCTTGATTAATGCAAACCCGAGATCCATAGCTATTCAACCCTAACTGGAAATGTAGTGACTTTTCCCCGTAAGGTAACTCTGCGCTTAATGGGCCTCCAGAATCGCCGGGACATGTGCGACTGACAGTACTGCCGACACATATCTGGGACAGATCGAGCTGAAGTCCATAATTATTCTCACAATACGAACTATCGACACCATATACATCGGCTTTAAGCAGTGTCTGGCCATATTCTCCCCGTTCATTCAAGCCCCAGCCGGAGATTTTAAATTGGGTAACATCACTCTTTTGCTCATCGACGAGTAGGCATATCGGTCTGATATAGGCTAAAGAAAATTTTTTTATTTTAGCGTTCCTTTGGTGTTGTAGTTTAAGTTACCTGAATATTCCACCGTTCTTTCCATACGAAACATGCCAATGTCAAAGCGACTTTTGCCTTGAGTATTGTAATATCTGTGGACAATTTTCCTTTCGACTATAATCCTTTCGGCCCTTGGTTTGCAAACACCCGAAGAACAATCTGGTTCGGGATTCACGACTAAGAAATCGCCAAGCCTTAAATAAGTTTCTTCAAAAGAAAGGCAATGTGCTGCCGTAAGAACAAAACCTAAGAAATGAACTTCATAATTAAAAATCTATTAGTTTAAAATTTAAAATACACACGTGATGTGATGAGCGTGCCGGAACAGAGAAAATAATCACTTTTATTAAAGACCCTCACCATCCATGGATTCTCGTAAATACTTGTATTGGCACCACACTCATAAAAATAATTTTCTACATTTTAGAAAATCGCCCTAAAAAATTTTTCGCCTTTGAACTGAGAAAAATTTTCTATTTTTACGACAAATTTGCCATAAATTTAAGGCAGGTGACCATAAAAAAATATTTTTAGGGTTAATTTTTCTATTTTTCTAATATTTAGGGCGATTTTTTTCGATTTGCTTCGTTTTGACCTTTTCTAAATCCAACGGCGAATCGCCCTAATTTTTTCTCTAAAATTTTTCTAAATACAAGTGCGATTCGCCATAAAAATCACTCCAAAAGTGTGAAATTCGGTAGCCCAGCGGTCTAATCACTTGCGCTTTCAACTTTGCTATATGAGGACTAAGGTCGTGGGGTTGTGGGTTCGAACCCTGTGTGATTCAACTTGATTTTTATTTTTTTTTTTTTGTAAACATTATAATACTGAGGACAAATTGTCACAGTCGTCAGGAAAAAAAATATACGGTTTAGTTGCCTTTAGTCATATTATAACGTAGACCTCAAGAAAATAAGATGTGTGCAGAGTTTGTTCGTCGTCTTGCGCGAGGGGTCTGTGGTGCAGCGGTAGGACGTTAGACTCTAAACCGAGAGGTCGTGGGTTCGAGTCTCGCAATGACCAAAAAAAGTAAGTTGTTTTTTCTCCTCATATTCATTTCCCTAATTCATTTACAAACATGATTTTTCAGTTCTAACGGCTGTGCTGTATAGATCGGGCCCCCTCTTAACGCGGCTCCCATATACGCTACACACCAATACAATAATATGAAACGGTGTCCTCCGCCGGTGTTGTTTAATTAAAGCAGTCCCAGTTCCCAGAATATAGACGATTAAAAAAAAAACATGCTTCCCAAATTCAGTTAAGCATGCTCAAACACGATTTTTTTTAATTTGTCTAATTTTTTAGGGCATTCGCCTATAAAAACAGAAAATTCGCCCTTAATTTTAGAAAAATACACCTTAAAATTAGGGCAAATCACCCTAAAAACAGGAAAATATTTCTTATTTCAAGAAAAATCACCCTAAATTAAACCAAATTTCCATCGGGATTTTTTAGAAAATTTTTCTAAATACACGGGCGAATCGCCAGCGGATACGATTTATGGGCGATTTTCTAAATCCACGGGCGAAAAGTCAGTTTTTTAGGGCGATTTAGGGTAAAAATTTCTATGAGTGCATGAGCAATAAGACTAGTTATTGGGTTAATCGTTGAAATTCCGCACTCTTTATCAAGCAGGCGCGCCGATCCTTCTTTATTACCCATAAATAGGCAGGCTAGAGCCAGAATTTCCAATGCGACGAGCTCCATGATTTTGCGAAGACTGAATGAAAGCTGGTTCGAATTATATATGGAAAGAAATTAGGTTGAAAAGGTTAAGTTCAAATTGCTGATTATGAATTTGATTGTTTTTCTTGCAAAGATTATTAGTATTATGATCATACTCTTAGGAAGCATAGACATATTATGTACTTACGTATATATTTGCGACATGGTGTAGGGGAGAGTGGGGGAATTTCGTCAGCATTTTTTCAAAGCTATTTTTTGTCCATCTTGAGACACGTTATCATATTTCTATTTTTATTGTTGAATGCGGTTAGCACCAAGCTTTAAAATGTGACATTCCCCTATTTTTTTAATTAGCTTGGTGATTTATAAAAAAATAAAATGTAAAACCAATATACTGGGGCAATCTCACCACACAGGGGGGTAAAATCACCACACAACTGGGGAAATTTCGTCACCTGAAAAATGTAGGGAGTTTAACGCCTGAAAATATGCTACACTGATCAAGCGTACCATTTTTGTTGACGTCCTATATTTGTTGCTGCTGCTGGTAGTCTGTTCGTTAGCCAGCTCGTCAAATATAAAAATATGTATTTAAAATAGGTGCGAATTTACCCTTAGCGTAGGGTGGCGAAATTTCCCCAGACCGTACTTTTTTAGAAATAATTATTTTTCTTGCGAAATTAGGCGCGAAGTTAAAAATCACTGACGCAGAAATGCACATTATAGCACTGTGTATTATATAAAAAATCGTGTATCTTATTCCTTTTGAATTGTGGCATACAGAAAAAATTTCGTCGAGAACTAAATGTAGCTTTTGAACTGTTAAAACACATTTAATATTATAGCTTAATTATCTTGGCCTTCTGTGCAAAACAAATGCATTGGTTGTGTCTGGCCGTCTTGAAGGACTAAAACAAAAAAATTATATATTTTTACGACTTATGGATTCCGAGATATTGCAGGTGACGAAATTGCCCCTGTGACGAAATTCCCCCACTCTCCCCTACATTTAAACATTTCGAATTCAGTTTAAATTAATTCAGGTTGAGTATAATTGTTAAGGACTGAAAACACTTGAGGGGCTGTCCATATATTACGTAATCATCTAGGGGGGGGGTCCACCAAATGATTACTCTAGTGCAAATTTTTTTTTTTTTGTATGAAGAAATGATTACGTGGGGGGGGGGGTCAAAAATCGGCGAAATTGTGATTACGTAATATATGGACAGCCCCTGAGAATATTGCTATGTAGAGAATTTGTTCTCAGCAAATTGAACTAATTTTTGGTGAATAAGAAATCGGAGAAAGCACAGGCAGCAAGTATAAGTGTATATAATTCGTTAATTACTTGTTTATCTTTTTATAAAACTAAAAAATTTCAATATTTTTCAAATTAAGGCGCTATCTATTTTTTCGTTAATTACTTGTTTATCTTTTCATAAAACTAAAAAATTTCAATATTTTTCAAATTAAGGCGCTATCTATTTTTTCTCCTTAAAAATGGTTTGTGTCTTAACTGCTAGAAAGTGGGTCTTGCAACCAAGTCGTGTGTCCGCGATAGGCATTCCTCTCTCAAGAGAGCAATTCTCTGAGCGAAACGGTTTGAAACGGTTACGAACCGATTCTTCCATTTGCTATATAAGGAACCCACAACAGCCACTCTGTAAATTTTAAAGACCGATTTGAAAACGCGCTGCCGGTGAGCCAGTCTCCATTCTCAGACAAAACAAGATATTACAGTAAACAACTTCGTCGTGTTTGAAAAATCGCCGGATATAATATCACATTAATTTAATTAATTTCCTATAACGGATTATAAAGTTATGATATTTTATTAAAGCAAAATTTTAATAATCAAGTGCAATTCTAAGGGAATCACAATTGTTTTCATTGTACAACAAAGGCAGAGCTTTTCGGCCAACAGTGTGTGAGTGTATTGGTAGTGAGTGTAAGCGATCGCCAAGTTGGTTTCGCACTGGCTTTAGCTTTATTATAATCGCCCCCGCGCGATCTGTCGCGTTATCTGTGTTTCTGCCACATTACAATTTGCACGCTCATTTCGCGACTAAAAAAAAATTACGAAAATAAAAACAGACATCGGGTCAAAAAGTAAGGTAGAAAATTCGCTATTACGCGCCGGCCAAAGTCTGGCTTTTTGAGATGGGGCAAGGAGGAGCGTCAGCCACGCTTGACTAGGCACCACCCACAATCCCCCCGATAGCCTCCCCCTAAAAGCCATTCGAAGTAAACAAACAAATCTGCCGCGATTCGCGTGTTTGTACAGTTGGTGAAAAATAAGCAAATCGCCCCGGAATTGGGATTATCATCAACATCATCAGATCAGCAGCACCATGAGGATATCGCGAGGATCGTGGTGCCTCAGCTCCGCCACTCTGTTGGCGGTACTGATCCTCGGCTGTTTGGCAGCCATCACCACCACCGCATCGGTCAGCAATGCCGGCTATGTGGATAATGGCAATATGAAAGGTAAGCTGTTTTCCATCGCACAGTCGAGCTTCTGTAACTCGAACCGCCGACTGGCAGAAGTAAAGTAAACACACATATATAATTTCAACAATTTTAATGCAACTGAAAAATGTCACATCAAAATTGCAATTTTCTGGGAACTCAAGTTACTAAAAAAAATTATGGTATTCAAGGAAAAGTAAAACATTCTTTTGTAAATTTAAAGAATTTTATAGAGTTTTTAAAACTAGTTTCAGGATCAAAATTAATAAAGAAGGGCAAAGGTTTTATAATGCTAAATGATTTGGCTGAAATTGGATGTAGGGCAGCTGGACTGTATTTCCCTCAACGTAACAATAACTGTGCCGAGTTCTTCGTATCAGCATGAGAAGATAGCAAAGACAGCATTTGTATCTAAGATAGCAAAACGGCAGATACCGATGGAAATAGCAAGGTGCTCTGTGCCCAAGACATCATTCATGGGTGCGGGACAAAGGGGGGCCTTTCGGACAAAGATTGATAAAAGGGATTCGACTCATTCAGCTAGCGAGAAGAAAGAGAAGTTGCCGGGGAGGAAGTGAGTGCCTATCCGTATCTCTCGATCCCTCCGCTTATCGTGCATCTGTTGAGATTCAGCCTCGGATTCTGCTTCTCTTTCGCCTTTATTCTGGTTATAGGATAGGGAAGAACAACAGGTTTCCCGAGAGCAGTGATTTCCCATGAGCAGTGCAAACACACACAGCTATAGACCTTTTCTACCTGTTGGTTACCTGTGTATGTGTGTGTGTGGCTACCAGGTAGAGCCCATTAGGCATCTCGAAATATGAATGAAGTACAGATACAGATACAGATTCGGATTCGTATTGCCTCGTTAAAAAGGACAACAACTTTTGGCGATGCAGCGGTGTTTATTCAAATTTTGAGCTCAGTTCTATTGCCTGGCAGTCTCGAGAGCTTGCAGAAACCAGTTTTGTGGCAGAGAAAAAACAAACTCACATGCATGTCTCCCCTCTGCGACCGACTTATGGCTGGTTTTGTTGGGTTTTCTGCTTTTTGTTTTGTTTTTGCCCAGACTTCCTACCACCTGCTCCCCCTCTCGGCTCTTTGTCTTTTTTTCGCCAACTCTGTACGCATCTGAACCGTGAGATTTTATTTCATGCAAAAAAGAAAAAATACAAGAGCCACCAGGCAAAGGCAAACTCAGAAAAAGTAGAAGTACTCGGCTGCGCATGCGCAACACAGAACGAGATGGCGAGTTCGGCGAAGGGAGAAGGGGATAGTCGACCTGCGCAGGTGTTTTGCGCTTGGAACAAGGAAACCAGCTTATAAATTATAAGTTTGGCTCGTTGCAGTTGCAGCCTTGTTTTCGGTGGTTTATTATATGGCCAAATCGGTGGCTGTTTATGGCTTATTACAAGGGTTCACAGGTTGAGAAACCTCTGCACTTGAAGACCTTTGCTTAAGCGTAAATTGGAAACATTAGGTTGATTTTGTTTTTATGATGTTTTGTAATTACTTAATTTGAAACTTTTTTATTTTTTCCTTAAAAACTTAAAATTGATCATTTTTATTTTATTAATTAATCGATTTGTCAGCCAAACCTATAATTGTATTGAAATAATTAAACAATAACGTTGTTAAAAATTGTTAATTTGAATCACTTTAAAGCGATTGAATAATTTTTGTTTATTATTTCTTTTTTAATATAGGTCATTAAAACTGGATTATTATTGTTATTAAAGTAAAGCAAATATTATTTAAATGCTTTACCTCTCCGCTATATTAAATCTTGATTATTATTGTAGTAAATTTTTAATGAGTTCAAATTTTTTAATTAGCAATTATTTTATTTATTTATTCTTTTAGTTTCAAAACATCATCTCTTTACTCGTCAATTTAATTATTCAAGTGTATTTCCTCATTCGGTTTAGAATCCATCATCAGTTTTTACAGAACTGGTTCGATCCTGTGGGAATTGTGCAATGTAAAGTGTAGCTGAGCTGGGGATAAATTAACATAAATAATGAGGCTGTAGGATTCATTCGGGCTGTAAACTTGCACATATTATGACCGCGCTACGATCGATGGACGTGACCGTGAACGCAGTTCACTTTAAATTGATAATTACTTTTTACGAATAAGTGAAGTGGAGATTATTTTTGGAACTGCCAAAACACCTTTGGCATTGCAATGACTCACAATTGCTTATCGGTTGATAAGAACGTAAAATCACAAAGTAATAAGCAACTGGGCACAGCTGGCTTTATAATGAAATGGGTTTTTCAACCTAACGACCAAAGAAAAAAAGAAGAGCATTAGTATCCTGTTTTGGGATTGAAGTTCCAGCGAAACAGGAACCGGCTAAGTGGCCAGTCGAGGATCGCGACATTTCCCATTGTCAGGCCGAGTCGAGTCGAGTGTCTGGCCCTTAAAAAAACACATATTTTTGTCATATTTTTGAGAGGCCATCGGAACCGAACCGGCTGGCAGGTAAGGAGCTCGCCCACGTCTCAGGTTCGTACTTTGCTTTCTCCTCGAGCAGAAAAAGTATCGGATTTCATAAAGGACATGCCATATTCTCCGTTCTCGGCGGATGCATATGCAAGAAAGTTCCCATGTCCTTTTAGCTGGAAAATGGAAAACCACTTGAGCTGCATGCGCCAGCCTCATGTCTGTAATTATGAAGAGCCCACTTGAGAGCCACCAGCATTTCTCGGCTCTTGGTCTCAGTGTTCTCCCTCTTAATTGCATTTTATCTCTTGAGCATGCTACTGTTACTGTATCTCTAAGATACATTTCTGCCCTTTGTTTTTTCGTTTTTTTTGGGGGAACTTCTGCACTCTGATTCTCACGTATATACATGGATTTACCGGGAGTTGGGGGCAAGAGGCCTTGTAATCATAAATAATAATCAATTTCCTGTGCCCAAAATGTTTCCCATCGCTCCACAAGTTTTCCGTTTCCATTTTCCAGCTGTGGAGCGTATGCAACTGCAAGTTTTCCTTTCTGGTGAGAAAATGAAAATAAAATCTGACAGCACAATGCGAGGTGAGGTGAAGGGGCCAATCGGCTCGGCTGGGATTGTTTAAAATGTATTTATTGTTTGCCGTTTTTTGTCTGTATACATTCGGTTCTCCTTCGGTCCGTTTGTTTGATTTGTTGAACATTTGTGCACATTTGTTTGCCTCATTTGCATGGCAGACCCCTCCGAAAATGGAGGCTGCCAATGGGCGCGTTCAACGCGATTCGGAGAGAATCTGCCTCGGATTTCGCTGGGCTTCGGCTCGCTGCCTCGTTTTGTGGCGCTCACTCGGCTGCGGAGGTTAAGTGTTGGCCCAATCAACGGCAGCCCCATTTGCTGCCCATGACGCATGCGTCTTCTTCGCAATACCCTAAACTGCACTTGGGGTATGCCGAACAAATAGGAAGTATTAACATGGGTTATATTAAAATAATGGAAAAAAAGATTTATTAGTTTTATGAAATATCTTGTCAGATTAATACCCAAAAATATCTATGATATTTTTATTTTATAGGTATTTCAGATATATATTAATTAGTATTCCTTTTTAAGTTGTATCTAACATTTTTTAAGCTTGGAAGTATTTTACTTAATTGAAAAGGTATAATTAAAATAGATTAATTTAAAATAAAGTCAAAATATGTAATTTAATACTGCTTCAAAATAGAAACTATCATTTACTAAACCCATAAATATTTCTTTAATATTCAAACTATTATTGATCATTTCGGCTGTGTTAATTGGACATTTCTTTGAAAAACAATCCCAACATAACTAGTAATATCAACCGCTAAAAATATGTTGATCCAGGGTATTGATCGCTTCTCTTCCCGAATTCAACGCATAATTTATTTGTTATCATAGGGCCTGCAGTGCAGCCTTCGTTCCCCCAAAAAGTATCCCATCCTGGCAACAGTTCTGTTTTGTTTATGACTTGGCCAAAAATAAGAAAGCCGCACCAGATTGCGCCAGCTGTTGTGGGATTCAATTCGATGGCTTGAGATGAGGATGGGATGAAAGGGGATAAGATTCGATGCGAGGCTGGGGCCTGGATCGCCTTACCCTTTTGCCACATTGTGTGGATCAAGAGATACTGCAATTAGTGAAGGGGGCACTTGCAACATCGGCAAGTGTGGGTGGTGCGGAGTTGGGGACTCTGCGCCATATGTCACGTTGGTAAGCCGAGCCCTCGCATCGGATTACCACTTAGTTATATAGCTCCTCTCTCGATCCCCCAACTTCTTTTATATATATTTTTTCTCGAGCCACTTCCATAAACATAAATCCAAGCCGGACGAGCTGTTGTTGTTTCTTCTTCGCTTGTTTGTTGTTCTTTTGCTTTTATGCGGCCAAAGGTTCTGGGCCGGAAAACGCCAAAGAGCATAATAAGTTAAAATCCAGAATCGGAATCAGAAGAATCAGAGTCAAAGGCACAGTCCGCGGCACGAATGTAAGGTCAACGGCGTTGACAGTGATCTTGCATAATTGCGGGGCAGAAAAAAGAAAAGGTTTGGCCCCACCCCGGCTTAAGGTTATACCTTTCTTACCCCTAGATTTTTTTTCGTTTTCCATTTGCTTTTTTGCTTGTCTGTAGGAGAGCGAGAGTTAACCCCTTGATGGCCGCGGGGTCACCAGCGGACGTATGTGAATCATTGACAGTTTTTATGAAGCGCCGCATGCATCACTCAACGACATCTCAAGAAGTGCCCGCTGTCTTCTCATGTCTCTCAAAATCCAGCAATGGGTGTGATGAATTCAATGTTGCTATTTCTACACAAAACGAAAAATTGTCTGAATAATAAATTAAGTCAGCAAACGCACAAAAATTTTACCAAATCTTAAAACAAATATTTAAACATTATTGAAACATTTGAAAAAATTTATTCTTGAATTTCATGCTAATTGAATAAATTCTAAACAAATATTTCCTGTGTAAATGAATAAGTCTTCGTGAGCAGACCGCACCCCACTTGCCGATGGCTTTCAAAATCATTTCAAA